TGGAGCAGGGCTTACTTCAATCACTTGAAAACGTGAGTATAGTCTGGTCTGCGAGCACGTAGAATTTTTTCCAATGACCCCAAGCTACCCACCCTTATCGCTCGCGTGTAATTATGTTGCTGTCGCGCTCGCAAACTCACTGCGGGCGCCCGTCGCACAGTCGCGAGATGGGCAGCTCGGGGTCATTGGACAAAATTCTACGTGCTCACAAACCGGGCTTTAGAAATACAGTGACTTTGAAATCGATGGCATCCTTTTAAAATAAGACTCTACTCATGAAGCCTTTTTCCAGCAGTGGACGTCTTTCGGCTGAAACGAACGAACGACCAAACAAGAGTAAATTATTAATCTCAGAATAAATTCGACCTTTTGACATATTTCCCATACTGAAACTGTAAATGTGCCAGTTATACCTACCAGAAGTTATGCTCGGAAAAGTTTGGTCGAATCGGGCCTATGAGTAAGTCTGTAATCTGTATTATTATTCAGCAAATCTTACTTTTGTTTTAGCGCTCATCAGTCTCACTATGAGCAGTTCGGACAACTAAAATGCAAGTTCAAGATCAATGACGAGTCGTTTGAATACACGTTGCCGTCTTTCAGAGATCACAGCTTTGGTAAGTCTTTGGTAAAAGGTAGTTGTTCAAAACACGTTACAGAATAGTGTTTAACCTTCGGCAGGCAACTCTTTTTTTGTATACGTAAAAGGCAACAGGGGTGACCAGTCACCCCACAAATATAATTTGAAATAAAATAGCTTTGTAATGAAAAATCAAACTTATTAATGATTAGATCTATTACTTTGTTTCATTATAAAACTAAAAATGCTTTCATTTAACAGTTTATATATTTTTAATAAATTAATTTTTAACATAAAGCACAGTTAAAGCAAATATCTTTTCGATTTTCAGGGCATGAGGGTAGTTGACATTTTATACGAGATGTCATAACTTTTTTGTTCAGTTTTCTTTGATATATCACTCACCTTGCCTGCTTCTATAACTTTACTGAAGGTGCACCCTCAGGAGGTCCCTAGTTCATATTTAGAATGCCATGTGTAATTGCTCTATAATTCTCGCATCTCTCGCAAGAGTTACTATATTTCGTCGAGGTGTTTGACACTAAGGTGATAAAACCAAGAAGACCAAACATGTCTGTTCTTACATAGTAGCACATTTTGTTTGAATTGTGCTAGTAGAACGTCATCGTCGTAACAATTTTCGCTATTGGAAATAAAGTATTCCTCCTCCGACTGAACTGAGATTATCGTCTTCAATTTTAGAAATCTTATTATCATCTGAGCAGCGTTTATCATAGGAATTGACATCAGCAAGTCCATGAAAGTACTTTTCGATTTCATCATGAGAAAACAAAGCCATTTTTACTCCAAAACCAACCATTTACTTTAGCAACACGAAAAAATAAAGTATACGTAAAAGGCAACAGGGGTGATGAGTCACCCCAGCAGTGTCAAAATATCAAAAACATGAACCTAACGCGATATGTTGACACATGCGACTGATAGCTCTCCCTCCAATTAGAGAATAGACCAAACGACAGAAAGACACAACAACTGCAACTAAACGTATGAAGACTTTTTTGAACTAGTGGGGTGACTGGTCACCCCTGTTGCCTTCCGAAGGTTATCCGGCTCGAAGGACCAAAAATTTTTCTTTGAATGCTTATCTTCTGGTGACGCCTAGGACAAACAATAAGCCTAGGCGCAGACCACCGATTTTTAGTTGACCGATAGTTGAACCCGATTTTAACTTGTATGAAGAATCTGCCGATATTAAATCTGTGTAATGTGCGCACTTTCATACATATTCATACTGATTAAGAGCCCGACCCAACTATCGGCCAACTAAAAGTCGGTGGTCTACGCTATGGTTTCGAGAGGGTTTATTTTCTACTTCGTAAATAAAAAAAGAGTTGTTTTTGTAGGTCAATGTAGGATTCTGACCTTAGCTTGTTTCTAGGTCATAAACGAGACTGGAGTCTGATGCACAGATACGCGTTCCACCACATCTTCCTTCAGAACGGCACCAGCATCAGCGTCGGAGTCATCTGTCAGCCGTCCACTGCTACCGAGTAAGCACATAAGTTCGGTCGCCGAGCAGATAGAATTTCGTCCAATGACCCCAAGCTACCCATCCTTATTCTCGCGCGTAATTATATTATTGCTGTCGCGACTGTGCTCGGCGACCGGACTTTATACGTTTTTGATGCATAATAAATAAATAAATAAATATCTGGACAATTTCACACAGCGCTATCTAGCCCCAAAGTAAGCAATTAATAAGCTTTGTTATGGGTGCTAGCTTAATAATCACACTTGTTACGACTGCATAAGATGCCAGATTGCGATTGAATAAATGAATTTGAATTTGTCCTGTGCGTTCACGCGCACTGTGAGACCTCATAGTAATGTTTGTGAATACGGGTGTTAGTAAGTTTTGGTTACTTCAACAGATTCGAAGTTGGGACGATCGCTTTCAAAGACGGGACGGTCCTGCCCATCAAATGGGTAGAGCTGAAGCTGTACCAACATGGGGAAGGGGGCGAAGCACCCAAGGACTACGCCTTCAGGTTCCAAGCCGGAGACGAGGTCTACACAGTCCAGGTAACATTGGAATGACATACCAGCACGTACCGCGTACCGGAGAACGCAGCGTGTGTCGTCCACCCACAAGGTGGACCGACGACATCATAAAGGTGGCAGGAAGGCGCTGGACGCAGGCCGCTACCAACCGGGCAACGTGGAAAGCATTGGGGGAGGCCTATGTTCAGCTGTGGACATCCTATGGCTGGGATGATGATGATTATGACGTGACGGGCGAGGTTATAATATTTCCAGCAGGCACACAAATAAAATCACTATTATCGGTTGGGTGGGTCGCATAAGCAATAATGATCTTATGTAAACTGAATTGTTCCTCATAGAAATCCGACCTAATCCCGACTCCCGAGTAGCTGAGTTTTAAATAAAAAGCGTGGGTGTTTCATATTTTCCAGACTTTCGACATTGATTTCGATAAGAAAGCTCTAATTGCAATATGCAGTGATTTGCCACACTATAATAGTGCCAGAAGTGGAACTTTTTTTCTCTATTCTCTAAATCGTTGGTCAACATGAATCTTTTTGGCCATACAGAAAACATTTACCTACCACTTTTGATGCCTAGTAGCGTTTGCCATCAGCGCATCCTTTCCTCTCCCAAGCTACCAAAATCACACAGCCAATCATATTTTCCATTTCCAGGTTAAAGTGGAGTACGAATCGGTCCACTACGTATCTGACGAGTGGGAGGCTCGGATGGTGGAGCGCTTCTGTGCCTTCTCAGTGAACAACGTCCCCGGACGGGGCGTCTCTGAGTTCCACTATCGGCACACGGGCGGCCGCCCCGAGACCGCGGCCAAAGATGACCCGGAGTGGTTCAGGAAGATGTGCCATAAAGTTTAATGTCGCTCCCATAATACTCAGTTCGTACTAAACTACTTACTTAACATAATTTAAAGTATTTTACTGGAAACTACGTGTTATGCGTAAATATTTTAAGTCCACTTGTTTTTTTTCGAGTGTAAACAGAAACTTTAGTAAAGTTAACGTATTAATTTGTAGTTTATAATAAACTGATTTTATATGATATTGAAACTTTTATTCATCCTACTAGCTAATTCCGCAAAAAATACTGAAGGGATTTTGATGAAACTTTGCATTATTATTGTTTATAACCCAGAATAACATATAGGCTATAATTTATGACGATCTGTGACAAACGAAATTTCACGCGGGTGAAGCCGCGGGCAAAAGCTAGTTTACTATAAAGTACCTTTAGGAGTGCTCTACACTTACTGAAGCCCAAACTTGACCATAACAGGAACTACACAAATATACCTAAATAAATCTATTGCTAGTTCTCTAACGGATCTTCACACATCAATAAAGCCGTCAAAACCTTTTCCATTGGTCAATAAGTCAAATCTGACCATGACAGAACCTTGCGCAAGTTGATTTACCAGGCGATTATTCCTGAAATACCCTTTCCATTGCTGGGTTTATTAATGTAGCACTAAAACTCGCAGTGGTTAATCGTCAATGGGTGCAGAGCTGGGATACAGTTGGGATCTGACCTTGGGACGTGCAGGGAGTTGTCCTTTCGCCGCTCCAATTATATCGCTAATCGAATTGACTGACTGCGCACTACTAATGGGATAATTGCGCGTGCGCATCCCATTGAGTATACCGGCTGATGTGTAAAACAAAGGCATTTTCTATGAAAGCTATTAGCACGTTTGATTTGCTGATAGGTAGAATAAATGTGTTCGAATCAGACTGTAGAAGATCCGTAGAAAAACTAAATTAACTATAATTCGCAGTATCGCCAAAATCAAGTGGCTCGGTAGGTACTTACTTAAGTATAAAACTCGTCAAATGGATGCCCAAGTAGCACAAAATGTCTTACAGCGGCCGCTATACGGTTTACCTGGATACTGAAAGCTGTTTAAAGAAGCTAAGCTGTATAATGAAGTTAACAGCGCCTCTTCAGCCCTTGTAACTCCTTAAAGTGCACAATTTATATATACCGCCTTTAGTTCTCACTTTTGTCATTTTAGCGGCATTACATTATTAGCATTGTAATGGAGTTATTAATTTTCACCTAGCTGTTTATCTGCTGTATAATGGGACACGTGTTACTGTTAAGCAGCTTAAGATCGAGAAAACACAACCGTTTGTTGTTTCAGCTTTGAACTACATTAACCGAATACATTTTGACACAATATCAATATTTCCTCAAATACCTGTTAGAAGAAAAAATATGTAATGTAGGTACGAGTAAAGTATGGTTCGATTTCCATAACGAACCCAGTTCGAATCGGATCCTCTTGAATGCGAAAATAAACGTGATTTATTACACTTGAATCATCCTGTATGTAGCCCGGTAGAGTTTAGGGTCCCTTGAATAGGTACAACGTATTTACGAGCCTCACAGTCGGAACTGTCCCGTCGCGAGACACGGGACTACGGATTGCTCCCACCAAAACGTAAGTAAAGCTTCCTTCATTATAAATAACTTTAACTTAAATAAGTAAAAACTTAAATACCTTTTTACCTAGTTCTAGTTTTGAGCTGAAAGTTTACATGCAATTTCATGCAAACTTATGAAATATACTAGCTGTGCCCGCGACTTCGTACGCGTGTTAACCCGTTTTCGCAATATTTTTCATAGTTTATCTGCTCCTATTGATCGTAGCGTGATGTTGTATAACCTATAGCCTTCCTCGATAAATAGACTATCTAACACTGATATAATTTTTCAAATCGGACCAGTAGTTCCGGAGATTAGCGCGTTCAAGTAATCAAACAAAAGTGCTTTTTAAAAGCAAAAATAAATTAGTATTATGAGTTTTTTATCATGCTTGAATTTTCTTTGAAATTGGTACAAACCACTTTCTAACACAGACGATGGACTTCGACGCGATCCTAGAAGACGTGGGGGAGTTCGGCAACTACCAGAAGCTGGTGATCTACTTGGTGCTGTTGCCGGCGGTTCTGCCGTGCGGTTTCCATGCGTACGCACAGCTGTTCATGGCCGCTGACGTTGGCCACTGGTGCCGGGTGCCGGAGCTCGACCATGTAGCTGATATGGAGGTCGTTAAGAACCTCAGGTGAGGGTCTTAACTTTGGAACTTTCCTAGCTTTCTTTCGCGGAGTGTCACTCCACTAGCATGCATCGGAATGCATCGGAGTGGTAGACAGAACCAATTCCTATTTCGACTCTTGGTTGAAACTTAATGAAAGCAAGATAGTGAAGAAAGAAAACAGTGCCCCTAAGTATTACTTATTCTGTGCTCTAAGTGCGCCTAAGTATTTAGGTACGTGCACTATTAAATGAAAAGTCGAGTAACTAGGTAGGTACAACGTACAGAGATATTTTTTTTTATATTCTACTAAAATAAGATAATAAAATATGTAGATCGAAAATAATGTTTTTTATAAAATTGATGTCATGCAAAAAGCATAGTGAAGTTTCTTTTATCTTCAGCAATCAATTTATTTATTTGCAGCATACCATTTGAGCTCAAAAGCGGTATCCTCCAATACTCCCAGTGCACTATGTACAACCACAACTATACCGACATTTTGAAGAACTACCAAAGCCTGGAAGAAGCCATATCTAAGGAGACTCCCGCCGACATCGTGCCTTGCAGGAGCGGATGGACTTACGATCGGAATATTTACAGGAACACAGTAGTTTCTGAGGTAAGATGATTGTGGGAAAAAATATTGTTGATTAAGTATTTTCTCCTTGAGTTGTCTTGAATAGATCGCTTCCTAGCGATCATCATCATTAATTTAGCCATAGGACGTCCACTGCTGAACATAGGCCTCCACCAATGCTTTCCATGTTGATCGATTGGTAGCGGCCTGCGTCCAGCGCTTCCCTGCTACCTTAATGATGTCGTCCTTCCTCGTCGTCGTTCCTAGCGATAAAACCATCCAAAGGCATTATAAAATTTAGTATTATCGGTGTTGCCGATGCATAAAACCTCCTTAGAGGTTTTTCTCTTAGGTTTGATTTTCATATAAAAACTTGGTTTGACGTCTGTGTCAGTTGAAAAGTATTCCGTGCAAAAGCTGGTGGTTTACAATCTTCGAGCCGGATCCAGGCGGATTCAATGTTTTTTACGCCACCCAGAATGGTAAATACACGGAGCGCAACTCGAAGGGAGCAGCAGGAGATTCAGATTCAGCCATCCGACGACTCCGAGGTACAAAATATGGCAAGTCAAAATGACATTTCCGTACAAAATAGTACAGTCGTGCAAGCAAATTCTAAAGCCTCGGAATCATCTATAGCAGCTAGGAAAAAACGGCTAGAATTTGAAACTGCGAAACAAAAGGCCAAAATCGCTATGGATTTACTTGACAAGCAGTTGGAGGTGGATATCGCGGAACTTGAGGATGAATATCCCGCAAATATCCAGCTTCACGAGAATGGCGATAGTGTGACGCAATGGCTTGAGCAGCAAGAAAATGAGCAACTTGTCCACGATAATGGACCCCAACCGGGCAAGTTGTGCTCTTCGGTACCACATCAAGAGTCAGCGTCTATGGAAAATGCTGGCACGGTACACATGTTGGCCGCTGCACTTAGAGACATTGCGGCTACCTCTGCTGCAAACACCAACAATGGTAACCTCTTAAGCCGTATATGCACACCACGAGATCTCCCAGAGTTTTACGGAGACCCGATGGAATGGCTACCATTCAAAGGAGCATATTACGAGTCAACTGAAGTATGTAACTTCACACCCAAAGAGAACTTATGGCGACTTAGAAAATGCCTGCGTGGAGCCGCTAAGGAAGCAGTCTCGGCTCTATTGATCAGCGCATCGTCGCCAGAAACTATTATGTCTACTCTTGAGCTGAGGTTCGGTAATCCAGATCTGATAATCTCAAGGGTACTACTGTTGGACATAAAGAAATTACCACCCTTGCCGAGCGATTACCAGAGAGACATAGTGCCATTTGCTGTGAAGGTACAAAATCTGATAGAGGCCATTCGAGCATTGAAGCGAGAGGAATATCTACAAGGTATGAACATAGTCTCAAACATACTTGCAAAACTACCGACAGTGCTTGTATCAAAATGGTCAGACTTTAGTTTCCCACTGATTACTGAAGGAAAGATGCCTCGCTTGCTTATTCTATCAGATTTTATAAAAGAAGAAGCTATAAAGATATCGACTACGTCCAATACCTACTTTATGGAATCACGCTACGACCAGACCAAGTACAGACCACGTGACATTTATTCAACCAACCATCCGCAAGCAGTATTGTTACAGTCTGAGCAACAAGATGTCAACAAATGTCAGTTTTGTCGTAAAGCGAACCATACGCTGTTGGAATGCAAGCGCTTTAGTAAAGCTCTACGTACGACCAGATGGAATCACGTGAAGCGCAGCGGACTCTGTTTCAAATGTCTGTCATCCCGTCACAGCAGAGAAACTTGCACTGCGCCGGTGTGCGACGTAGACAACTGTGGTTTACCTCATCATAAGTTGCTGCATTATCCAGTTTTCAACCGCCGCGACGACTCTACTGTTCAGCCAAGGCAACAGAACGCTTCTACGGAGACAGTCACGAACATAAACTCGACTGATCGGCGAGTGTTTTTGAAAGTCGTACCTGTACGCATACACGGGCCGAATGGAATCATCAGTACGAGTGCTCTCCTTGACGACGGGTCGACGGTGTCTTTAATAAGCGCTACGTTGGCGGAGCGCGCCGGGCTGTGCGGCCGTCAGGAGAAAATGCGGGTGTGCGGCGCGTGGACCAACAATGAACTAGTTCTGGATGCGACAATAGTGAGCGTGGACATTTCGGGTATGGACGGTAAAATTCATTCTTTTTGTGCGCGAAGTGTACCTCAATTATGCTTACCGGTACAAAAGATGAGTTATGTTAATTTTAATGATTATCCTAATATGTCTGATGTTTTTGATAATATTTGTCAAACGGATGTCAAACCAGAGATTCTGATAGGGCAGGATAATTATAATTTATTTTTCCCCATAGAGGTAAGGGTAGGAAAACGTAATGAACCTTCGGCAACACTCACTCCCTTGGGCTGGTGCGTGCATGGCAGCATTAATGTACCACGTGAGGTCCGCTCCTCTCCCCAGGTTACTCTTTTTATTACAGAGGGCGGAGACTGTCCCACTGAAAATCACCTGTTGCAGGATATTCACGACGAGATCAGGCGTTCATTCACCTTGGACTCATTGGGCGTCTTGGGTAAGCCTCGTCAAAATGCTGATGACGTGCGCGCTGAAGCTATGCTGGAGCAAAGCGCTGAACTTGTCGACGGCCGCTGGAACGTTGGTTTACCATGGCGTGACAGGAACTGTCAGACGCCAGACTCTTACCCTAATGCATTACGACGTCTNATGTCAAACCAGAGATTCTGATAGGGCAGGATAATTATAGTTTATTTTTCCCCATAGAGGTAAGGGTAGGAAAACGTAATGAACCTTCGGCAACACTCACTCCCTTGGGCTGGTGCGTGCATGGCAGCATTAATGTACCAAGTGAGGTCCGCTCCTCTCCTCAGGTTACTCTTTTTATTTCAGAGGGTGGAGACTGTCCCACTGAAAATCACCTGTTGCAGGATATTCACGACGAGATCAGGCGTTCATTCACCTTGGACTCATTGGGCGTCTTGGGTAAGCCTCGTCAAAATGCGGATGACGTGCGCGCTGAAGCAATGCTGGAGCAGAGCGCTGAACTTATCGACGGCCGCTGGAACGTTGGTTTACCATGGCGTGACAGGAACTGTCAAACGCCAGACTCTTACCCTAATGCATTACGACGTCTAAAAGGTATCGAGCGTAAGATGACGAAAGATACAGGGTTTTCATCTAGGTACGCGGAGAGAATTCAGCACTTATTAGAAAACGATTTCGCTGAGGAACTAAAGGATGATGCTGTCACACCTAGGACGTGGGTATTGCCACATTTTGGTGTTGATAACCCAAATAAGAAAAAATTAAGACTAGTTTTTGATGCTGCTGATAAAGTTGAAGGATTTAGTCTTAATGACTTTTTGCTTACAGGGCCAGATTTACTCTTGTCGTTATTTGGTGTCATGCTGCGGTTCCGAGAAAATAAAATTGCAGTGACTGGTGACATCAAGGACATGTTTCTAAGAGTGAAGATCAAGCCTGAGGATCAGCAAGCGTTTCGATTTTTATGGAGAAGTAACCCCAAGGAATCCGTTAAAACGTATGTAATGACATCTTTAATATTTGGCGCTAACTGCTCGCCATTTGTAGCTCAATTTGTTAAGAACAAGAACGCTAAGCGTTTTGAGAGTTCTAAGCCGGCTGCGGTTGATGCAATAATNTATGTAATGACATCTTTAATATTTGGTGCTAACTGCTCGCCATTTGTAGCTCAATTTGTTAAGAACAAGAACGCTAAGCGTTTTGAGAGCTCTAAACCGGCTGCGGTTGATGCAATAATCAATTCGCACTATATGGACGACTATATCGATAGTTTGCCGGACCAAGAAAGTGCCATTAATGTAGTGAGAGATGTGATTGAGATACACAAGGCAGGAGGGTTCGAAATACGTAATTGGACGAGCAACAGCAGCGCCGTGCTAGATAGCATTCCAAAAGAGGCTTTAGGTCCAGTGGCTGTCAAGTTCAAAATAGACGAACAGTTGCAAGGAGAGCGTATTCTTGGCCTAATGTGGTACCCGAAGGAAGACGAACTCGGTTTTGATGTCTCTTTGAAACGGATTCCTGAGAGTGTCATTCATGGTAAAGACAAACCTACAAAACGCTTGATGTTGCGCGTCATAATGTCTGTGTTTGATGTTTTAGGTTTTTTATCGCCCTTCACTATACAAGGAAGAATTATGCTGCAGGATACTTGGAGGGTAAACGTCGGTTGGGATGATTTGATACCCGATGACATTTACACAAGATGGTGCCAATGGATCGACACGCTGAAGGTAATTAATCAGATTCGTATCCCAAGATGCTACGTAAATGTCCACCGAACAACCGACGACAGCATGGAGGAGGGTTCGAAATACGTAATTGGACGAGCAACAGCAGCGCCGTGCTAGACAGCATTCCAAAAGAGGCTTTAGGTCCAGTGGCTGTCAAGTTCAAAATAGACGAACAGTTGCAAGGAGAGCGTATTCTTGGCCTAATGTGGTACCCGAAGGAAGACGAACTCGGTTTTGATGTCTCTTTGAAACGGATTCCTGAGAGTGTCATTCATGGTAAAGACAAACCTACAAAACGTTTGATGTTGCGTGTCATAATGTCTGTGTTTGATGTTTTAGGATTTTTGTCGCCCTTCACTATACAAGGAAGAATTATGCTGCAGGATACTTGGAGGATAAACGTCNTTTTGATTTTATTGAAAACTTGGTTTGACGTCTGTGTCAGTTGAAAAGTATTCCGTGCAAAAGCTGGTGGTTTACACCGAGTTTGAAGCGTTCATGAGCAGTCATTGCAGTTGAATATTCAAGTTCTGAATTTGATTATTGATGAATAATAAAATAAATTCTACTAGCTCGATTGATGGTTTCATTTAATTTATTTAAATCAGGTTACCTATAAAAACATTTTTTCGTTAATTTATGAAAATATCAAATTAGCCCGTAATCCTGAATCCTGATACATAAAGTTAGCCTATTAATTTAACACAGGTACGACTGTACTCAGTGTTGCACTATCAAATGCAATTGACGCGCCTCTATGCCAGGGTTTTTATGTTCCTGGTCAGGCTATAAGATTCTTATTATTACATAAAATACTTTATTAATTTCAGAATCGTATCCATGGGTTACTGGTCGCTGACGTTGACGATAATAATGTACTTCAGCGAAGCTTTCTACTACCACTCCACGGATCTGAACTTTTACATTGTATTCCCGTGTATACTAAACAGTAAGTACCTATATCTACACTAATAATAAGAGGTTTTGTAAGTTTGTTTAATAAGAAGTAGTAGTAGCTTACAGATTTAGAAAATTCTTTCAACTGTAGAAAGCCACATTATTTCTGAGTGTCTAATGCCCGTTTTCACCATCAATCCCTAATTTTTAATTGACTCCTATGAAAACAAAATTCCTGTTATGTGTTACCATAGGGGTCGCTTAAAAATTAGGGATTGATGGTGAAAACGGGCACTAAACTATATTTTTCTGGGACAGAACAGACTGAAGTTCATATGGGAAAAGCAGAAAGCTTTAAAATATCTGGTTTTACTTTATTAATAATGTTTAAAATATTTAATCTACTTGTATCCTATTAAGTCTCACTTATTAATATTAACTTTTATCTCTATTTTGAATGTTGCTATTATTTACATTTAAATGTAAAGAAGACTAAACAATCCCTTATTTGTGAGTTTCCTTTCTGATTGTTTTTAACTTTTTTTTAAAAGGCAGAGGGAATATAGTTCCCATCATATTTATTGAACCTTTTTTTTTTTTTTTTAAAAAAGATTATTAGTAATTTGTTATTACACAAATTACTAATACTCCCGTTAGCCCCTCGTACTAAGCTAAATATGCTTGTGTCACGAGTGAGCTCACCACAATAGTCGAGCGGCGGCGGGGACCGAACCCGCGTTCCCCGGATCACGACAATCACGAGTCGGCCAGTCCGACCCCTTCACCGTACGGCTATCGTGGCTTCAAATTAAAAAAATTTATAGTCAATAAAAGGATGATGGGCACTTTTCTATGGAATCTGGGCGTAAAACCAACAGAAATGTAACTACTATTATTTGTTAGGACTTAATATCAGAAATATATTTTCATATAAATAACTACCAAAAACTCTCGGGTTTGCTTGGAAATTGACATAATGTGTAATAGTAATAGGTGCTTTATTACGCAAACAAAAAATATTATTAATTAATATACTTATCTACTTACATTTTAAATACATTATGTTATTTATCCATTATTATGTCCAACAGTTCAGGAGTGGGGCCAACAAATGGTTTATTTAAACCATGTTCTACATTATAAGCGTAGGACCATATCTAGGTACCATTTAGAGAAATGACATCAACACAGTCATGTTTCAATGGGATTTCTACCAGTTAAGTTGTTGTGTTGTCGCATAATCGATCACTGATCGATTATTAATCGAATTGCCAAAAAAACGATTTATCGATTAACAATTCGATTAATCGATTTTATTGATTACCATCATTACTATCATTTGATTGTTAATTCAATTCCTTATTTTCAGCAATATAATCGATTATTGCAATCGAATAATCGATTATGATTTATTCGGTATACATACTTACTAAATCGATAGAATCGATAGTAAGATATGATAAAATACTCTCAATATGATTGATAAAAGCAAAATAATTGACCTAATACTATTTTTATTACCCTAATGTGATGTGAAATACTATGGAAACTTTGCATATTCAACGACCTCTATCTCCGTATCCCCGCGTATTTCAGGGTTGTTGTTATACTATGAAATGAAGTACTAGTATTAACCTTTAATTTAGTATACTTTTTGTTTCTGTTGGTTTAACGCCCAATATGCCCATCATCCTTTGCTTGTATTAAAGTCCAAAAACAATTAAAAGTTTGACTATACTAATATTTTTTGGTTCAAAATCAAAAACAAGCGTATGTACACTCATATCTGTATTGCTGATGCTTTTGGGCTAAATAAACAATTTTTCTTTCTTCTTTTCCCTTTCAGTTATAACCTTACTCGGATTGATATACCTACCAAGTAAACTGAAGCTCTTCGGCCAAATACCAGGCACCTCTGGCATGGACAGAGAAGTGGACGATGAAAACACACAAATCCTCCGACAAATGGGCAACTTCCGAAGAAGAAAACCTGGCAACACCGTCAAAAACAAGCACGTCTGATTGTGGTGTTGCCATAGTAGAGAAATATTGACTGTGAGTAACTAATTTGGTAGAATAGGTATTTATGACAAGTTTTGGCAGTAAAAAATGATTCTGTGCCACAAACACTGGTTAGTATTGTGACACACTTAGTTTTACACACGATTTTAATGTACAGTCACTATCAAATAGTTCGTGACACCCAAAGTGGGCAAAAACTTGACAACAACCTTATTCCAATTGGAATAAAGACGTTTTTAGCCACTTTGGGTACCACGAACCATTTGACGATGCCTGTAGTAACGAAACAAGCACTTGTATTTAATTAGTTTGCTGTCAAATAATCCAGCATGGCAACACTATCTAACTCTGTTTCTGTATTCTCTATCTGTCCCTGTCAGTCGTACCAGGATCTCCCTATGTGTGAGTGGGATGGGTAGATAATTAAGAAACTTTGTTGGAGCAGTTTCGCAGTTGTCCTTTATTTGTAACTTTGACAGTACTTTCACTTTTAGGTTTGTGGCATTGTACAATTTGGAACTTAAACCAAAGATGATAAAAGTCAAAACCCATTGGGGCATGTTAATGTGCTATCGAGCGTATAGTCAGCGTCAAATAGTTAATGACACCCAAAGCAGCCAATAAGTTCGCAACACGTCTTTGTTTCAATTGGAATAAGGTTGTGTTTTCAATTTTTTGGCCACTTTCGGTGTCACGAATTATTTGACCCTGACTGTACTATTATTGCGATCTCATTTCAGACGCTCAAGACAATTTATTGTGTTAATTTTAAGCAAAAGTGATCTGAGACTTAAATTTTAGGTAAAGTACTTAAAAAAGTAATTGCTTAAGTAGGTTTTTCTTACTAACTCCCTGAAGGTCTCCAATTTAATCTATAGGTCTAATGAGCTACCGTATTTACGATAGCTAGGTGGCACCACTGGTGAGAGGCAGGAACTAACTCAACAGTGGCGCCAATTGGTGAATTAGATTTTTCTACTATTCTACCATTTTCATTGAAGTTAAAAACAATATGGCAAGATGCATTTGAAGATGCCGAAAATGTTCGGTTTTTTATTCAACAAAATTTCAAATTCTGATTTTGTGGTGTACTTACTTCGTCATACGCGTATGGCAACACTTTAGTTCTTCTTTATCACATAAAGCGCCATCTAGTACTGAGTAAAGGTACTAATTTTGAGACCTGTAGGCCGCTTGTAAACATCCGTTTTTTGACCGGACAACGGCCCGATTTTTTCACCGGATTTAGCAGTGGCGTATGGTTTATAATGAACGTGTGCACATGCATCGGACATGGGTCCGGCGAGAAAATTGACAGCAAACAAAGGATATCCGTTTTTTGACGGTCCGTCGTCCGGTGAAAAAACAGATGTCTACAAACGGCCGTACAAGTTTTTGGTAGACTTTATTCCAAACTCAATTTTTAAATTAAATTGTTGAATAAAATAACTGAGCGTTTATCGTCATAGAATAAAATATTTCATAGCTTTAAAAACCGCTTTTCAACCAATAGTGCCTATATAGCAAAATGTGCTGCACATCTGTTTCATTTAGATTACATTTAAATTAAATGTAAATAAATGAAGTTTCATTATACATAAATTCTTCCCGTAGATGTCGTAAAATAAAAGGGACAAATATGCGAACATCAGGCCTCCCCAACCCGTCTGGCCAGCGTGGGGAGTGTAGGACAAATCCTCCATTTGCCTCTGGTAAATTAGAGAGGGTCTTGCTCCTGCAGTGGAGATTAAAAGTCATAGCACACTTATCTACCCAGAAAGGAATCGTAGCCGTATCAACTCGAGGTGGTCAGTATTCTTTGTATGAAACTCCATACTGCAACGCACATTTATCCGCACCGTAATATAAACGCCTCGCGGTTGACAGCGCGCGAAAGGCGATACGGTGTTGATCCCTTTCCGAGTTGATAAGCCTACTATGATGATGGTTTCCGCAATTTATTACACCGATCTTTTCGCGACAAAGATAAATTTCCGTGCTAAAAGCGATTTTGTGAAAAATTTTATTGGCAGGTAGTTGCTAATTGCTCATAAGATAGGCCCACTTAATTTAATTTATTGTCCGTGGTGCATAATCTTTTCTTAAAGGTTTTTAAACCTTTGTTTGTCACCTGTCATCCGCTTTGCAATGGAGGGAAGTCGAACCTTAATTTCGAACTCCTCCTATGTTCTTCTGATTAATTTCGTTGCGGGTCCAATGACAGTTTAACTTTCCCCCGGGACAAACTTGACCTTCATTGGTTGGGTTTTTGTGGCGGTCAAGCTGTAGATCCTGGCTACACAGGAGTTGCAGTGGTGGGAACGAGAGGTGGGAATAGTCCCTTCTACTATGATGATGGTTTAAATAGTTTATAACATTGAAATAAATATAATCCTGGTCTATTATATTAATATGTATTCGTATGTTATTTATTTTATCTAATGCTATGTAAGTAGGTATATTAATTAAACGTCATATTTATTACACCGCCTTAATCTCTCTACTCGACCTGTGGTTGACTGGCAGATAATGCCACCTGGCATTAAGTCCGCCACTGTACATATGTATGTGCAAAAGTGTAAATAAATAAATAAAAATAAATAATCTAAATGAAACAATGACAGCTATAGCCATATTAGTTAATGCTTCCATAACGTGTGATTCCATAGGAAGATATAGATTTTAAAACTGTTATAATATTGTTATAACGTTTTTACATAATATTCTTTACACATAATACACTGGGGCACGGTTTTACGAAGTTATAGAACAAAGTAGAAGGCGTTTTTTTTATGTGACAGGAGGCAAACGAGCAGACGGATCACCTGATGGTAAGTGATTACCGTCGCCCATAGACACCCACAGACCCACGGTTGCTGTAGCTAACCAAGCGTCGATGTGACGTCACGGTTGCTGTAGCTAACCGAGCGTCGATGTGACGTCACGGCTGCTAGGTGAGCAGTGCTCGACCGGGTTGTATTAGTGTTTCTCCGCGACTTCGCGTGAATTTTAGACTAAAACCGAAAGATTTTAACGCACCTTTCTAAAACTGAAAAATATATATTTTACTAGCTGACCCGGCGAACTTTGTTCCGCCTTAATGGCAATAAATAAGCAGACTTTTTTTTAATTTCGAACGGGATAAAAAGTATCCTATGTCCTTCTCCTGGCTCTAAACTATCTCCCTGACAATTTTCAGCTAAATCGGTTCAGCCGTTCTTGAGTTATAAGCGAAGTAACTAACACGACTTTCTTTTATATATATATAGATGTTTTGCCCTGTAACCCTGGGTTTCAAACTATAACTAAAATTGGTTGGTATGTCTGTGTCTGTGTGTGTTAGTGTCCGACAGCGCCCTCTATTGCGTCACATGTATACCTCTATTTTGCAACAACATATTATAATGCAATAAACGTTTTGAATTTGAATTTGAATAACTATCTAATCTACGTACTCTTTTAAAGCCGTGCCCCGTATCAACACCGGTTCACTCACAATTTTGAATGTATTTATTTAAATACCTTATTTATTACATTTTAGGTAGGTATTGCATAGGAGGATCCTATTTATAAGTCTTCAAATTTAAAATACAATATACAGCCATTTAGTTGTAATATTCCATCATTATCTTGTCTCTCTCACTCTTATGTGAATGTGAGTGAAGAGAAGATATCTGCACAGAATTTCAAACGAATCAAAAACCCTTTATCCGTACCCAAGTATGTCGCCATAACAACAATGCTAACAGCATTGTTGTGTTCCGGCAGTTGGAAGTAAGATAGCCTGTTTTTTTTTATCCACAACGAGGAAGCTCTTGGCCTGTATCTCACCTGATGGTAAGTGACGATGAGGCCGAAGGTGGAAGCGAGCTTCACCCGGAATCCTGAACCACGGCGGAACTGGCTATCTTACCTCTAACTGCCGGAACACAACAGTTCCTCTGTGGTTGAGGATTCCGAGTAAAGCTCGCTTCTAACTTTTTACCCTATCACTATTTTCCATCTGGTCAGTCGAACCTTAACTTCGAACTCCTCCTATGTTATTCTGATTGATTTTGTTGCGGGTCCAATCACCAATGACAGTTAAACTTTCCCCCGGGACAAACTTGACCTTCACTTGTTGGGTTATTGGCGGTCAAGCTGTAGATCCTGGCTACACAGGAGTTACAGCGGTGGGAACGAAAGGTGGGAATAGTCCTGTACTTTCCATCTGGTAAGATGCAAGCCAAGGGCTCATCCGTTGTAGGTAAAAAATATACTAAAATAAATGAGTTGTAATAATACCACAGATATGATCCAACTAAATGGTTGAATAATGTAAAGCATATTTTTTCAAATTCAATCTGTAGATATAGCTAAAGGAAACACGTCCTTGCCTTTAGAAAGAGTGAGAATAGCTACAGTAGATTTGAAATTTTCAAATTGACACAATCTTTATAGCATGCTGTCTTTGTCTTACTCAAAGGGTGTGAGAAGGACACCACGCGAAATGAAGAATGTGTCCCAAAATTACTGTTAAAATAATAAACAATAATAAACATCTTTAGAATGAACTGATATAGATTGTTTCATCCACGAAGACGCGCCCCACCATTCTTCCGCTAATGTTTGAGCGTTATCGGTACACGCTAAATCATCCATGAGTGCACACGCACACACAATAATGACGCTCGGATTGCTCGGATCAAACTCCCCGCACCCCGCGCGACTGAGACCAAAAACACTTTTAGGCGACTATCACACTGCGCCGCGCTCCGCCGCGGTACGCGGGACGACAGATTTAATCATTGTATGCAAGTACCTCAGTTTGTATAGACAACACGCGCGGCACTTCACACTGACAACGCGTCTGCGGCGGAGCGCGGCGCAGTGTGATAATCGTCTTAGCAAAGCCAAAATTCTTTTACTTTTTGCACATACATATTTTTTCTTATTACTTAGTTATAGTTATACTGTAAATCTTATAATCTCTTATACATACAACCCAATCGTGCTAACTGCGCACCGCGCTGGAATGCGACTCCCTCGCACTCACCCGTACACCTCCCCGCGTTCGTCCCGTCCGTACCAGAGCGGCGATGTGACGTCACAGCTGCCGCGTGCGCAGTTAACTCGACCGTACTGTAAATCTTATAGAATTGTCTTTGTCACTCGTATAGTATTTATACATGTGAAAGAAACAAATACATATACAAAATCAGTCTCATTCTATTGGTGGAAATGTGTTTATTATTTAACGTTTTATAGGCATAGCGCTCAATTGATTCAGTACCTGAGGCAAGTTAGCGGCACGGGAGGGTCGGAATTGACATATTAAGACGTGACAGAGCATATAGATGACCCACGCTGAACTGTCCCACCAAACTCAATGACAGGGGGGCGCTACCATCGTTCAACTATATGGTTTCCAACATGGCAAAAATCGGAACCAGCGATTCGGTATTGACGGTGGCGCCCCACTGTCACTGTCATGGATAGGACAGTTCAGTATTTTAGAACTATAGGTATTTCGATTATTTGTGGACATTTTGCGTCCCGGACTCCCGGTTGTCATTTTGAGAAGTTGTCATTTTGATGACTAAGCCGACGATTTTTGATGTAAACTCAACTAAGCCCTCTGAAGTCTCGCAGACGTTTGACGTCACAAAAACACCCTCCTGTGCCGCTCCCATACCTCAGGTACTGACTAAGTTAAGAGCTAGACATATAATAGATAGGTTTTAAGAATATTTGAGTGACTTCTAGATATATTTCTCTCACCCGCCTGAATTAGAGCACCCCTAGTCTTAGTTTTTTTAATATTATGTAATATGTAGTCAAGAATTTTATACATCGGCTTTTAGGGAAATTCATTATGTACTGAGATATCAGCCCAAACAAACATCCGTTGGGGTTTCTCAACTTTTTAACAGTTTCACTAAAGAGATTTCATCATCATCATCATTTCAGCCATTGGACGTCCACTACTGAACATAGGCCTCCCCCAATGCTTTCCATGTTGATCGATTGGTAGCGGCCTGCGTCCAGCGCTTCCCTGCTACCTTTATGATGTTGTCGGCCCACTTTGCGGCCTCCACTCCAGAACCTTGCTGCCCCATCGGCCGTCAGTTCTGCATACAATGTGCCCTGCCCATTGCCACTTCAGCTTGCTAATCCGTCGGGCTATGTCAGCGACTTTAGTTCGTTTACGGATCTCCTTTTTTTACCCCTGGGCCACACACATCGCGATAACCCGAAGAGTAGCACTATACTACTCGCGATGTGTGTAGCCAAGTATTCGCGTATACTTCTCTTTCTAAAAGTCGATGTATAATTCTGGACGAATAAGTCTATTACTACTAAAGTTCCCATCTACACATAAATAGTCCAAATCAGTGCCAATATATTACGAAAAAAGCAATTAATAGTTCAGTTAATGCTCTCTTTACAAAAATACCAAAGGATTTCTTGTTGTTTTTGCAAATTAAAACCAAAATCTAATGTAATTTAAAATAGTGTTGCATATTGTTAGTCTATCGATAAGTACTACTATTGTTGAACAACACTATTCAGTGACGAATCAAAGTGAAAAAAGAAGTATTTATTATTGGGCTAATATATCAAACAACAAATAAATAAAAGTTGCTTATATTCTAAACCACACGCTACCGCGACTTTTAAAAAGAAACGACGCCATCTATGATGTGCTGTCAGAACTATACCTAAACCAGTAGGTTTTTCGACAACTAACGATATGCAACACTAAATAAAAAAGTACATAATAGTCTATTGAGACTATACTATTTATTTATTTATTTATTTAAACTTTTATGCCAAAATAAAATTTGAACATAAGGCGAACTTAATGCACTAAAGCATTCTCGACCAGTTTACCTTTGGGTTGAGCAGAAAAGAAATTTGTTTGGCGGTACTTCTAGTGCAGGAAAGAAAAACAAAAACAAATATGCTACATACATAAATAATATATAAAATATATAATAAATAAATACATACATAAAATAGATGATTGTATTAGATAGATACATATTGACTATTAAGTATGTATTGATCTAATATTATAGCAGCTGGATAATTATCTTATTGTTAATGCGAAATGTATCAAATATTTAACTTTTATACACTTCAATATAATGAAAATCATATACAGGATGATTTATACTTCGACACATAGTCAAATGTATAACTCAACCTGTATAATTAACTGCAATAGCTAGTCAATTAGTACCGAGTCATATCAGAATAATCGAAATGTTTATATTTGTTTAATAATGTAGGTATTATATTTAATCATGTTGTCCCTTTCGTGCCCCTTTAATGTGATAAAGATAGCAATAGACTACTAGACAGGCTGTTTTGAGATAATCGATGGTACACAAAATCTATTCGACAGCAGCTTGTCTAGTACTAAGTATACTTTATATTGCGTATTACAGAACGAAGAAAAACTCAAAACTCGATTCGATCTCAAACACAGATAGCTTTGAATTTCAATACTATCAGAGATTTAACGCTTTAAAAGGCAGACGGAATATATTTCCCACCTTGTCTTAACCCTTTAGAAGGCGGTGGGAATATATTTCTCACCTTATTTTTAACCTTGTCAAAGTAATCGAGTTCAGTCAGTCGGTCTATGATGCACGCCGTGATAAATTTTACGACAAACATCATCGTGGCGCGCATTCCAGACCTATTGAGCGCCATTTTGTAATACGAAATTTACAAGTCTTTGCTATGGCAACATAGTCTGTAACCATATTACGAATATAATTAATTGTGAATTTTCTATAATGTATTGTTAAACAATTATTGATTGCACAGTTTGCAGTTATGTTATTGTTAACATTGTAATTGTAAATTATAACATGCAATCAGCTCAACGATATGTGCTTTCGTTAGTATTTTAGCTATTTGATATTTTGTATTGTGTGATTGCAGCGAAAACTAAATTAAAAAATAGTCTGTTATACCACTTGCTACTGTCTTTAGGGACTTTGTATTGCAAATTATGCTAAAGGGTCTATTCCACTTCTAGCAAATAGTCGAAGGTAGCTCTTATTACAGCGTTTTAAAGCAAATAACTAACTGCCTTGCTAGGATGCACGCCATAATAAGATCTTATCGACGATTTTATCATTTTAGACGACAAATGTATGGACTTATCGTGCTATCGATAAAAGTTTATCGTTGTACGCATCCCATCCCTACAGTAAAACTTTGCAGTTGGGCCTATTATGTACCTATTTCACTATTTGTTGATTTATTAAGGAAATATTAGTTTTTTCTGCAATCATACAAACTATACCTAACAACGGACCATACTTACCCAGTGCCATATCATGTTGTATTGTAAGTCGATATACTGAAACGAGTCTCAAAATTCAAATTATTTACTTTAACCTAAGCCTACTGGGCAGTACTGGGCTACCTACTACTACTTTGGGTCATCGGCTGGTGCTGAAGTGTACGGTTAGCACGAAAAACTTTCGAGTTCGAATCGTTTGCGTATTCGAAATATTCGAATCGCTATCAAAAGATGTAGTACGAAAACTACAACAGCGCCCTTGTGAACATGTCGTAAAGTGAACTTAGTATGAGAAATGGTTGCACTAAACTTATTTTGAGAATCAAAATTGTCACGTTATCGTTTAATTCAAAGGTTGAGTATGGAATTACGCAAACGATTCGAACACGAAAGTTGTTCATGTTAGAGGTACTGGTGTATAAAATTCAGTCATCATGTCTCTCAATTATTACAGGAAATATAACTTACAAGATAATGTAATAAGAGGCAGGTGTCGCTAAATGAATTTACACTCAAGAAAGAACGCGCAAAGGTCTTAGAAACATTTTTTCTTTCTTTTGTATTCATCCAACAAACAATAATTTCGAGGTTCGTTTGAGAATATGGGCCTTAGTTATTGTTACATTTGAAATAAAATGCCGTTTGAAAAATTAATAAAATAATTTTATTTCAATACCTTTCACCATATACAGATATAATATTTTAGTAGAATTTTAGGACGGTACAATATTATTAATTTCATTAATAATTTTTACAATAGAATAGAATAATATAATTTTTACATACAAGTTTTTAGAATTATCTTAGTAAGCATTTGGACCTGGAAATTAGCATTATAAAATGTTTATCAAATCAGTCTTTTACAATAAACTCTGGAATGTTTTTATATAAACTCAGTATATAACAATCTTTTTAAAAGTCGGATCAAAATTATTAAGTTTTACACCAATGTCTCAGTAGCTTTAATGGTATAGTTACCACAGTAAGAAGTAGAAGCATACTATTCTCTATTGTTATGATTATAAACACGTTTTTACAACGAAAGCCTCATAAAATACAAACCCCAGTAGATGCCACACAAAGTGATGGGTTTTTAACTTTAATGTGTTGTGCTTAGTACAATTCAAAATTAATAAAGTTAACACCTAGAACCAATTTAAATCTGGTTGGATTTTTATTAGCAGTCAAGCTGTAGATCCTGGCTACACAGGAGCGTTTCTAAAGCATGTGAGGGCTATTTTTTGCCCTCATCAGTCGGCGCCCCTATAGAAGATCCTATAGTCCATTGGTTCCCAAAGTGGGGGGCGCGCCCAACAGGGGAGGCGCAAAGACCTTTAAAGGGGAGCGCGGGCCATCTGTGTACTTAAGTATAAAAAACCTGCGACCGCTGAGAGAATGCATTCCAGATTACTCGATACGACCAAATAAATCGTGGAAGCGCGGAATTTTTTGTATGGTCGAAAGGGGGCGCGTCTCAAATAAGTTTGGGAATATCATATTTTCACTCACAAGATGGCGCCACTGTTGACTAAGGTCCTGTCACTTGCCAGTGGTGATAAATGTTAAGTTGGAAAACGATATTTCTTGTGTCAACTACCTTTTGTAGTAAAATAAAGTGCATATTTTATAACAGATTAAGAAGCGCATATTTTTAAGATAATTAGTATAATCTATTTAATAGTAATCAGGGACCGGCGCGCAGGAGATCTTGACGAAATCCTCGTATCTGACCGTACCGTTGTTAGACACGTTTGCTTCACGGAAGATGTTGTCCACCTGTACAAATAAACACATGGGTTTTATCAATTTGTTAATGACATTAAATGTATGACCGATTGTACAGCGCCCCTAGCGGGAAACGTTCAAAAACCAAAATTTTCATACAATTTTAAAACGCGCTCACAGGTATGTAAGGCACAGCGCAAACCACTGGACGGATCGGGCTGAAATTTGGTATGCAGGTAGATGATTATGACGTAGGCATCCGCTAAGAAAGGATCCCACACCCCTAAGGGGGTAAAACGGGATCCACGCGTACGAAGTCACGGGCGGGGCTTATTCCACTATTCCCCATTGACAATCCCCGTCAACAGGGATTAGTGAACTTTTTGTTCACTATTCCCCGTTAACGCCAATTGGAACTTATAAAATCAAAATAAAATCCTATTATAACGGGGATTAATGAACTTTTTGTTCAGTAATCCCCGTTGACGGGGATTGTCAACGGGGAATAGTGGAATAAGCCGCGTGCGGCCGCTAGTAAATTATAAATGTGTGGGACAATCGAATCCCGCAGTGGTACGAGTAGGTTTTAAATAAAGTAGACAAGACAATAGATACCTCTCTAGCCGACAGGCCTTCGCCCCAGTTCTGCAGCAAATTGCGGAGCTGTCGTGCGGGGATCACGCCCTTCTTGTCGCCGTCGCCGGCTTTAAATGCGTTCACTACCTGCAAGAAGAAAAAAGTTTATATGGCACTAATTTTACAGTCCATTTAAATAGACTGAATTGGATGGATTGTTAACAATCAATGAAAAATTGTGTTAAAAGGAACATAGATCGTGCCATTTACAAAGACGCGCAACACCATTCTTCCGCTAATGTATGCATACGCACACTACATTAATGACGCTCGGATTGCTCGAATCACACTCCCCGCACCCCGCGCGACCGAGACCAAACATTGGTGGGGCGCGTCTTTGCGAGTGGCACGATCTATACCTGCTCAGTATATCTTGGCTCCTCTGGGAGCATACTAGGACACTGATTTTCGTAATCAAATCAAATCAGTTTATTTGCAAAAAAAATATCAACAGAGCTGTAAGTCACTGCAAGAGCACAACTCACCAATTGACCAGAGGCTAAAGATTTGGGTTACACTAGAAAGCTAGACAGGAAGAAACTGGGGTATTTCATCACAAAATAACACCGATTATACTAACTGAATACAATGACACTGTATTTAATTAATATGCTACTATAATATCAAACCACTCCCTCTTATTTCACACAGTCTCAAAGTAGGAAAAAATATATTTTGAGGCATCTTCCAACCACTCAATCTCAACATCTATAGTCTGGTCTGCGAGCACGTATAATTTTGTCCAATGACCTCAAGCTACCCATCCTTATCGCTCGCGCGTAATTATATTGCTGTCGCGACTGTGCGACGGGCGCCCGCAGTGAGTGTGCGAGCGCGACAACAACATAATTACGCGCACAGACCGGGCTTTATCCAACAACAATGAACAACAAGGTGGAGTGCTCACCTCACTGGGCAGGTTTTCAGCCCTGGAATGAATGTGCATGACTTCCAGGAAGTCAGCAAAGGACATCTTCCCTCCCTTGCCCTTTAGGTAGCCTGTAAGAACACATTTGGATCATATAATTAATGCTGTTTGTAGCAAAAAATGCATGCTGTTTGTTTTGGTTAGCAAGAAACTACTGCTGCTGTAAAACTAGGTTTTTTGAATTGTTTATTGAATAAATACAATACCTAATAACCATAGTAATAACAAATATTTCAAACATTATGATTATTATTACAATGTTTGTCTCCTGCCATCACTAAGTCATGAAGACTATTCTGTCTCATACCACTGCTCAACATTGCTAATATTTTGTACTACAATTGGTTTTCAGACAAATAATTACAATTTCTTCTAAAAAATCTACTGGATTTCCATGAGAAGCATTTTAATTTCAACATTTTACTCTTAGATGTTTTTTACAAGTAACAACATATTTTATTTCATACCGGTGAGCTCCTGGATCGTAGGGCTCATGCCAAGGGACCGCATCACCACCGTCAGCTCATCCAGAGAGGTGATCTGCCCAGATCTAGCGAATAGGTAGAAACATTCACGAAATTCTGCAAGGAAATTTTTTATAGGTATTTATTAACAAGTAGTGGTTGTATCTGTTTGTAAATAGGTATAAACTCTTCTCCTACTCTCTATTTTTCTCTTCAAGCGCCTTGGATCCCGAAATAAGTAAGGTATTTCAGAAAAACCCCGTTATGACCTGGTTAAATCAAGTAACTAATAACTAAAATAAAAAACATATAATTTCAGAAAATCTGCTGCTCTACTTCTTTTGTGTGACTTGTATTATAAAGTAGGTAATGCGTTTACGTATTTCCTTTCATTACTAATGGATAATCTAGTTATCTAGATCTAAAAATAATGAAACAAAGATAAACATACCATCAATGTCTTGTTCCTTGAAGTAACGCGCCTGGAAATAAACAGAATTGATGTTTTAGTAAATGTTAATTAACAGTTAACATCTAAATTGATAACATTGAGAATATTTACCATTTTATTTAGAAAATAAAGGAAAGAAATAGGTCAACAAAGTTCGGAGAGTTTTCGTGTAATCAGAGAACTGTTCTTGTTTTCCTGTTTATTACACAGAGCAAAAGTGGTTTGAAAATGAATAGCTTATTTAGGTAAATATTCGTTTTCTGAGGAATTTGTAAAGCTGATTGTAAAAATAAGAAAATAATTGCCACACAAGAACAAGTTCAATTCAATATGTCATCAGCGTTTTGACAGACAAGTCTGCCAACATGAAAAATATTTTTCAGGTTGTTCTCTATTACAAATAATGCCAAGTCTCAATTTTAGTCAAATAATGCCAAGTCTTGATAAATACCCAAATAGTTAGTCCTCGAGCCGTAATTTCTTTTGACGTTTCCAAAATTTCAGGTGTTTGTCTATGACAAAGATGAAGGACGGCCAATCAGCTGACAGAAAAAAGCGCGGGANGTTATTTTTTCATTACGATATTTTTTCACAATTAAACGACCTAAATGTCAATGTGACAGAGCCCACAAAGTTGTGGACGCTAGTTGGCGCTGTAATCGTGCACAGAGCCAATATTGGCTGAAACCACTTACACAGGTTTCTAAGTAGAACATGGAAAAAAAAGCGCGGGAAACGTCGTACTTGGTGGACGTCATTTTTCTTGCTAAAAATTTTTAAATTAGAAAAAGGATCAGATTGGTGGTTTAGTACATAATTAAGTAGTATTCTAAGTTATATTTATTATTTTATTGTAGTGTAGCATTCACTTCTGCAGTTCTGGGTGAGTTTTAATTGCTTTTTCTCGTGATGAACGAGCCGGACGATCCTGGCGGGACAACCCCCCAGGCGTCAAATTTTGTTACTATTTCAACATGTAGCCAGTCAGGTATGGATACGGAAGGTTCTGTAATGGACACGGACGGATCTGAAAGTGCTTCTAACCCCTCTAAAAGAAAGAGAGTAGTTGTACGTAAAGTTTGCAAGCATTGTAATAAAAAGCGTAAAAGTCGTCATAACAAATCTTCTACATTGAGCCAGGTACCTAATGATTCTGATTGTTGTTGTGCAAACACAGAGAACGTAAATAGCGCTAAAAAAGTTGTTGAAAATGAGATTCCTTTTGTTACTCCATCAACTCCTGTTGCTACTCAGTCCCACACATCTGATTCGACCCCTACTGCACCTAATTCGGTAAGTAGATGCTTTTATGAGGCTACTGATGTTGCGCCCTTTGTTGTTCATATACAGAAAGAACAATCTATGCCAAATGAAAACTGTACTCTGCACCCCGTGACTGTGGGTCATTTTCTAAAACGAAAGTCTATAAGAGGTATTGTTGATGGTAGTCTGAAAAAAATAGGCAGAAATCGGATTTCTGTTGCTTTCTCTCGTTTTGAAGATGCCAATTCATTCCTTAATAATGACCTGCTTAAAACTAACAATTACAAGACTTTTATTCCAACATTCAATATCACACGGATGGGAGTGGTCAGAGGAGTTCCTACAGAGTGGAATGATGAGGACATCCTTAATAATATAACTGTACCAATGGGGTGTGGTAGAATCTTAAAAATTAGAAGGTTGAAAAAGAAGAATTTTGTTAATGGAAAGTCTGAATTTGTCCCCATTGAGACAGTTGTGTTAACATTTGATGGTCAGGTTCTTCCTAAAAGAATCTTTGTTTGTTACAACTCTTTGCCGGTTGATCTTTACATTTACCCAACAATCCAATGTTACCAATGTTGTCGCTATGGTCATGTGAAGAGTCAGTGTAGGTCCCTTCCAAGATGTTATAAATGTGGTCTTGGCCACACCGGTGATACCTGTAATGTTGAGGAGGAAAATGTATTATGTTTCTTGTGCTCAGGTCCCCATCAGGCTACTAGTAGAAAATGCCCTGAATACACACGTCAAAAAAATATTAAGGAGACAATGGCCAAAAGTTGCATTACTTATGCTGAGGCTTTAAAACTGCATCCTCCAATTAGTAAATCTTTTGCAGATGTTGTAAGATCTGGTAGCTCGACTCAATCTCATTCTCAAACTTCTGGAAATCTTCCCCAGAACTCAAAACTAAAATATGTTCCTAATAATAACCCAGGCTGGGATTCTTACAAAAAAACTGTTTTAAAGAAACCTAGATCTCCGTTCAACCCAGGTAAAAGTTATGACCGAGAACAACATCAAAATATGACCAATGATTATAATACTCCGTTTGGCCCAAGCCAAAATATTTTAGGTAAAAATGACAATTCAATTACCTTAACAAACATGTCAATTAAAGAATTAATTATTACTCTAATTACCTCTTTAAATCAATCTAATTTAGTACCGTCCCACGTTGCCCTTCAAAATAATGATCTCGTAGTTGACCTTAGTTCTATTGCTGATGGTAAAGTTCTCCCTAGCAGTTCAATGGAACTGTCGAAGCATTAACAGTAAAAAAAGTGATATATTACATTTAATTAATGAATTTGATCCCTTTTTAATTGCCTTACAAGAAACCTGGCTCCGTCCAGATTCTAATTTTAAAATTTCTGGTTTCTCTTGTGCCAGAGAAGATAGATATGATAATTATGGTGGAGTAGCTTTGTTAGTCCATCACTCTATTCCATTTACATATATTCCTCTCCCACCACACAATAATGATTTTTCCATAATAGCTGTTTCTATAAATAACACTAGTTTTGTGTCGGTTTATATTCCTCACCCGTCAACTGCTATATATGATGAGGTAGAACAAATTCTTAGCAACATATCTAGGCCTATTATTATCATGGGCGATTTTAATGCTCAACACCAGTCATGGGGCAGTAGCAATTCCAATTACTATGGCAATAGAATTGTAGATTTTCTGGATAATAATAACTTGTGTATTCTTAATACTGGCAATGCTACTCGTCGTACCCAGCCGCACGAAGGTGTGAGTGCTCCTGATTTAACTATATGTAGCCCAAATCTTGCTTCCTCTTTAGCCTGGTCCACCCTCCCTTCCACCTATGGGAGTGATCATTTTCCAATTGTCTTTTCTTTTCCTGATATTAATAAAATTAATACTAGACGCCCTCCACGATTCAAATATAAAACTCAAGATGTTGACTGGAACCGTTATAAAGAAAAAGTAGAACTGAAAATTCAATCACTGCCTGTAGTTCAAAATGATAATTATACCTATTGTGCTGAAGCACTAGCATCTGTTTTAATAGAAGCAGCAGATGAAGTTTTTCCTGTAAAAAGTAGTAATAGAAGTAAATTACCCCCTCCCCCTTGGTGGGATAGCGAATGTACGGCCGCTATTAAAAAGAGAAAAGAAGCCGAAAAATTATATTCTTCTTATTCTACAGCCGAAAATTTTGATAATTTATCGAACGTAATTAATAGTACTAGAAAACTATTTAAACAGAAAAAGTGGGAAAGTTGGAGAGCTTTTTGTCGTTCCATTTCACCTGATACTTCGCCATCTGCAGTTTGGACCAATATAAGGCGTTTTCGTTCAGCATATAAACCACCTACACCCAAGCTCCTTCATGAACCACTAATTGAACAATTTTTAGATAGTCTTGCCCCTTCTTTTGCCCCCCAAGATCTTTTAATTCCAAATGAACAGTTTTCTACTAATTCAGATCAATCTGAATTAGGCAATCCTTTCAGTCTTTCAGAGCTGAAAGGTATTCTTTCATATGTGAAAGATTCTGCACCTGGCACTGATGGAATTCCTTATTCTTTTCTGGTCAATTTAAATGATTCAACTTTAACTTATTATCTTTCTCTCATAAATTTTATAATGCAGTCCGGAAACATTCCTTCTCATTGGAAAATTCAAGAAATTATTCCTATCTTAAAACCAAATAAATCTCCATCCAACGCTGACTCTTATCGCCCAATAGCATTATCCTCTGTTCTTTTAAAATTAGCTNCGGGCGGAAAGCTAGTAAACAATAATACTGTAAATTTTCATAAAAATCCGTTCAGTAGTTTTTGTTTGGAAGAGTAACAAATACCTATATCCAGACGACCAAACTTTCGCATTTATAATATTAGTAGAATGGTTTCATTTGTTGCTCTTTAAGACTATCCTAGGTTTTCGACTTCGACGGAGTTGTACTTAAGTGGTGTAGCCCCCCCAAAACGGGCATTTTATCGGTTTTACGGTTATACCGTGCAAAGGACTTGCAGTATCGAAAACTGATCTTCATGATGATTGAAGGGCATTTAATCCTGCATTGAACAAGACCAAATTCATATATTTTGTGCCTATCTTCGACAAAGTAGAAAATATACGTATAATTAATAATCTCTCTCTACGTCCAATGGTTCGTCACCCGCAAGCTCCAAAGCCTTGAAAAGGGCCACCAGCATATTCCTGTCTAGCCTCGCGAGTTGGATTCGTCTATCCTTATTCATCCCAGTGCAGCCGTTCCTTTACTACAGTTGCTGACTTGACTGCGTTGCCAAGTCTTACAGCTGGTCCTAGGTTCGACTCCAAAAATCAACAACAGGTTCATATTAAAACGCTGAATTTTGTTTGTTAGTTTGTTTGAACGCGCTAATCTCAGAAACTAGTGGTTTGATTTAAATAATTATTTTTATGTGATCTAGCTCGTAAATTGAGGAAGGCTATAGGATATTATACCATCACACTACGACTAATAGGGACGAAGCAGTAAAGAAAAATGTTGCAAGCACGGGAAATAGTATTTAAAATATTTTCACGCCTATGAAGTTGATTTTGTGGTTTCGAACCTTGGACCAGGCGTACGGCTAGGCAACGCAGTCGTGCAGTAGGGTGCAAGGTAGAGGGGCAGATATAGTAGATAACACAGAGTCGTTCAGGAGAGTGCAGAGAACAGGTGCAGCAACCGTAGTTAAGGATGAAGGAGGAACAAGGATAGGTAAATCCAACTCGTGAGGCTTGACAGGGATACGCTGGTTAAGGCGGCCCTTTTCAAGGTATGGGACCCTGAAAATATACCCATTTTCTACTTTGTCGAAGATAAGCACGAGAACAGTTAGTCCAAAACATATGAATTTGGTCTTATTAAATGCAGGATTGAATGTCCTTCAACCGTCATGAAGATCAGTTTTCGATACAGTAAGTCAAACCGCAAAAATGGCCCTTTCGAGGGGCCCCACCACTTAAGCACAATTCCGCCGAAGTCGAAAACCTAGGATAGTATTAATGGGCAACAAATCATCATCATCATCATCATTTCAGTCATAGGACGTCCACTGCTGAACATAGGCCTCCCCCAATGCTTTCCATGTTGATTCAAGGTTGCACAGCGCGCTATGGAGAGGGCTATGCTTGGTGTTTCTTTGCGAGATCGAATCAGACATGAGGAGATCCGTAAACGGACATAGCCCGACGGATTAGCAAGCTGAAGTGGCAATGGGCAGGGCACATAGTACGCAGAACTGACGGCCGATGGGGCAGAAAGGTTCTGGAATGGAGGACGCGTACCGGAAAACGCAGCATGGGACGTCCACCTGCAAGGTGGACCGACGACATCGTAAAGGTAGCAGGGAAGCGCTTGACGCAGGCCGGGCAACAAATGAAGCCATTAAAATAACAAAATCTTTTGTAGGAATTATTTCCGATTTAAAATCTAATTCTCTGGCCTAAACGTTACGAAAATGAATTAACTTCCACAATATCGAAATATGACGATTGAATGTGTAAACCAAAATAAGGCGAAGTTTTGAGGTGGTTTGAGTATTGTTGCATAATCTTTAAATGTTTTTTTTTTTTCATTTTTTTAATCGGGAGTGCTGGGCCCCTGGTCATAGTGGGCCCCTAGGCACTGGCCTAAAGTGCCTTATGGATAATACGGCACTGTCTCTCCTAGCCCTCCGTGTCCATAGCTGGGCACCGTTAATCAAATAGTTAACTTCGTTAATCGTTAAACCGTTAATAAAAAAATTAACTTCGTTAAACGTTAAAACGTTACATCTAGCAAGATTTAACGCAAGTTAACGTTAATCGTTAATCCGTTAACACGTGATAATAAAACGAAAAAAATAATTGTATGCAAGGTTTAAATAATTTGGAAAGCTTGGAATTTATTCCTCTTTTTATTTATGTTTGCGCTACAAGCTTTCGAAATTATTTGAACCTTGCATACAATTATTTTTTTCGTTTTAGTAACGTCTCTGGTCTGGCATTCACCAGCTCTTAGTCTATAGTATCTCAATCTCAGAGCCTTGGTTCAATTACAATACAATTTAACACCAAAGTGCTCGAAAAGACAAATCTAGCAAACCCAAACTCGATAAGTTTCCACCGTTTCGTTTACTCTGACTCCAAACAAGTGAAGTCAATATAAGTAAAGCTTGTAAATAAATAAAAAATAGCATTTTTATATCGTTTCTTTCTGGTTACAAAAACTGTTGTTTTGGGTTCTGGAAGTTCTGGAAGCCCGAACGTACTTGTCAGAACGCGTTTTTCTAGGGGAGTGACTTCGGCAACCGGCACCACCGGTCACTGATTCGGCAGCCGGCGCCGGTTACCAAATGAGCGACCGGCGCTGGCGGATGCTGGTCCATACCTTAGTAATGTTACATTTGTAGGTATTTTTCGACAAGTCCTCCTTGATAAGTTGGTCAAGTCTTTTAGAGTAATTTTGCATCCAGATTGTTTTTTAGCCAACTACGGCAAAGCAAAAGGAGGGTTATGATTTTGACAGGCTATGTATGTATGTATGTATGTTCATCTGTTTCCTCGTAACTTCTAAACTACTTATCAGAATTCGACAAATGACATATCATTAGAAGCGTATTAATTGTCCGCTGGTTATAGGCTATATGGGGTTTCACAAAATCTAATGTGGCGGACAAAACATACAGAGTAAAAAAAAAGTTAAGATAAATATGCCGTGTTTGGTATCATTTGAAAGCGCTTTACTTGTACATTTTGAATATATATATTTTACTAGCATTTGCTTGTTAATTACAGGGTGGCTCAGAAGAAAGTTCACTTTTGAAAATTCAAGGAAACGAAAACTGTACATTTTTATAGAACTTTTACTATTGCAATTTAAAGGAAATTTAATGGAATTTATTTTTAAATTTAACTTTATTTAATTACATCGCCCAGGAGATTTCCTTGACGCTCAAAACATTCGATCAACATACATCAAAATCTTGAAATGTGTTTGTTAGAATTACCACAGAATAATAATAAGTACTTCGTACAGAAGATTTTCTTCGCGAAGGTATTTAAAAAAATGTATGCTCAATGTCGTTAACAGTATGGTGTAATTTAGCTTGTCTTAAGAGTCGAGCACCATTTTGTTGACAAACGTCAGTGATCGGTACTGCGCCGAAGACATAGGGCTGACTTCGGTAAAATGATGTGTGACGTGAGGTGCCAAACTGCGAAAAATGGCGGAGGAAATACATGAATAAGCATGAATTATATTTTGTGTTTCTAATACTATTCAGGCAGTTAAAAAATACTGCACAGTATTAATTGCACCACCGTTTTTACATATGGTTTATATTGTCTTTACAATGCAAATGGGTGAAGAATACGTGCGTGCGTCAATACTCGCTCGTGATTGTCCTGTCGATTTGGTATCTCAGGAGGGGTAGTCGCGCGTGTTTTGTTTTCGATGCAAACTCGCGGAGATGAACAGGCCTGGAATTACCTCGAAACCTATTTTCAATTATTTTCCGAAAGCTCAGCTTCAGTTGCTGCATGGTTGTTGTATTATAAAAGTACACTCTATTCTTAATGTAACACCACAAAAAAGAATTTTCTGGAATGAGATCAGGGCTTCCTGGGGGCCAGGAGATGTCACCCCCGCCTGAAATGATTTTTTTGTGGGAACATGTCTCTTACCATCTAAATGCTCTCATTTGAAGTGTGACACGTAGCCCCATCTTGATGAAACTCAAGTGCTCCGGTCATAGCCTTGCGAATCTTGCAGCTTTGAAATCAAAAAGCTTTTCAGCCTACCAGTATAGCGCTCTCAAAAATTAATCATCATTTCAATGCAACAAACCAATTAAGCAGGGGTAAAATCTCACTGCCTCTAAGAAGCGCTAATCTCATTCCAGCAGACTTCTTTTTGTAGGGTTACCTTATTAGCAGAGTATACTCTAATAATCCAAAAACTCTGCAGCATTCATTCATCCTGAATCCATTTCGAGGTAACTCTAATGAAAGTTTTCCAACATTTTGATGTATGTTGACCGAATATTGTAAACGTCAAGGGAATCACATGTACGATAAAATTAATGAAAGAAAGTAAATTTTAAAATAAATTGCACTAAATTTCCTTTAAATTGCACAAGTTAAAGTTCTACAAAAGTTAACAGTTTTCGTTTCCTTCAATTTTCAGAAGTGAACTTTCTTCTGGGCCACCCTGTATTTTGATCTAATACAATTTTTTATTAGCGCCTGCTTTAAACTAACAGTGCCTGATATTTAACAGTTTTTGGCAGTTTTAATCTTTGCTGAGAAAGATGATTGAATACTGGATTAACGATTAACGGACTTAAGATAATTTAACGGAAGTTAACGAGTCCCCGTTAACATTTTTTAAAGTTAACTTAAAAGTTAATCCGTTAATAGAAATGTTAACTTCGTTAATAGAAATGTTAACTTCGTTAATTAACGATTAACGGATTAACGAGTTAATGCCCAGCTATGTCCGTGTCCCTCTCCCCACTTCGATATCTTGCCTGCTTGGTTTAAATGATTTTGATATTTATAAATGTATTTCTGAATATTTAATTACAAATAATATTAAACTTTAATTTATCTCTCAAGTATTTAAATGCAAACTTATTATATTATACTAGCTTTGGTCGCCCGCTACGCGGGCTACAAAAGCTAGATCTGCGATGCTGGCCGCTCCGGGCTTCGCCCTACGCGGCGCTCGGCCTGCGGCCTCGCATTCGGAGCTCGGCCTGCGGCCTCGCAAAAATTACACGGGGCTGGTTTTTGTTTGTCACAATGCTCTTGTGCTTTTTTGACGCAACACAAGTAAATCTATGGCGACTGTCGGGATTTGAACCGTCGCTCGGCCTTCGGCCTCGCCTTTCTGTCTGTCACTGGGCTCTAGTCCTTTTTTGACGCATTAAAAATAAATCTATGGCGGCTCTCGGGCTTTAAACTATCGCTCGGCCTTCGGCCTCGCCTTTTTCTACGTTAGCTAAGCCCCCCTGCATACAATTTGTATGGAGAATTTAGTGCCTTTAGGAAAACGGGTGAACGCTTGGCGGCCATCTTGGATTTCCAAAATTTTGCATTTTTCCCTTAATCTGGACCATTTTCCGCGCCGAACCCCATTTTTACTTTTTTTCTAACTTAACCCAATCCCGTAAAACAATTCCTTAAACCACCCATGTCCCAAAATTTTGAGTTTCCGTAACTCTCAGTGTTGCCAGGTTATCGAGCTTAAAATGGTCAAATGTCATTAGTTTGACCTATTTGCAGGAGGCGTCATCCAAATTTCTGACCGGAAGTCGTTATTTCCATTTTTTACATTTTTTGACCATATCTTCCAAAGTATGGCAACACTGGAAATTTTAGTTTTCCCAAACGATACTCCTTGACAAACTACGTAATCGTCCCATACAGCTCGACTTTCCCAAATGTTGCCAACTGCCCGAAAAATGCATTTGAAAAATCAGAAATCTGAAACTTTTTACAAAATGGCCGCCCGCTCAGCCGCCATCTTGATTTTCCGAGATTTCGGATTTTTCCCATAATCTGGGTCGTATAGCCGACTAAACCCTATTTTCAGATTTTTTTCCCCATATCTCCTTCTGTCCGTCCTTAACTTTAAAGACACCCATGTCGAAAAAAATACTTTTCCCCGTAGCTCCCAGTGTTGCCAGGTGATCGAGACGAAAATGGTCAAATATCATTTGCACGACCCCTTTGCAGGAGGCGTTATCCAAATTTTTGACCGGAAGTCGTTATTTCTACTTACGACATTTTTGGACCAAATCTCCTAAGGTATGGCAACACTGGAGAAATTTCTTTACCCAAGCGAAACCTTTTGACAGGACACACAACCGCCTCATACAACTCGACTTTCCAAAATGTTGCCAACTGCGAGAAAAATTAATTCCAAATTTTCGGAATTTTCAACTTTTTACAAAATGGCCGCCCGCTCAGCCGCCATCTTGATTTTCTGACATTTCGGATTTTTCCCATAATCTGGGTCGTATATCCGACCAAAAGTCATTTTCATATTTTTTCTGCNTCAGCTGACAGCTGCGAATGGATATTTTTCCATGGATAATTATCGAAATTGAGTAAATTATTACATAAAACGTTTTCACTCGCTACTTTCAGTGCGTTTAGTGATATATGAACTGTTGCAGCTACGTTTGAAGTGATGGGTTTCGTGTGTTACCGAAAGTAAGTGTAGTTCAGTCGATTTCAGTGTCATGTGTTACAGTGTTATCTAATTTTACCTATATTTTTCAAGGGTGAGCCGTGTAAGAACTCTTGCAAGGTTAGAACATCTTATAAATGCTTGCCCTAACTATGCCTTATGGCTTCAGGGACCAGTTTTTCAGTTTGCGCAGTAAAATCATTAGTATCATACATTCATGTATAGATCTACTATCTATACATTTACAAAATGTATTTTTATGATTTTATTTTGGTTCTATGCTAATTTATTCGTGTTTACATCATTCAGTTGACATTGTATTAAGTTACCTTGCTTTTCCTTATCATTTTTTTATCAGTATTCTTTTATTTCCTTCATGTTCTTTTGCTTACACAAAATTAGTAAAGATTGTGTTTACCAAAACATGATTTTGTACCTTTCCTAAGGACAAAGTGTTGTTTATGAGATAGTTTCAAAAGTTATTTATTTATTAAATCGTTCAAAATATTATCATATCTTCCGTTAACTATTACTGCACATTAAAAGAACTACTTATTTCACGGTTAGGTATTTGGTGTGATTGTTGAACTATTTGTTTATTCTCGTCTTATCAGGCTGACATTTCAAAGTACAAAAGATATTAAAACCAGAAATCTTGTATCTTAAGTTTTTGTAATAATCATTTCAAATTAAAGTTTCTCAATACTTACTCAATATTTATTGCATGACCATCAATGTGAAAATGTATTTAGGTTGCTGAATTAATCATTTCTAATAAAAGTTGCTGAATATTTATTGCATTGCAGTTTTTGATTAAAATTATATGTAATTTACTATGTTCTAATTATTTATTGGACATTTATTATTGTAAAACTGTACTGTACTGTTGAAAATTGATATAATTATAATGACATTGTTTCTTTTTTATGTATTAATATTCAAACTTGCATGCTTCTTGATGTAGCAAAACATGTGGACTTATTTTATAGCTGTAACAAATGTATACCATGTTTTATGCAAATAAACAATTATTCTATTCTATTCTATTCTATTCTAAAAGTTGAATACAGTGTCAAGTCTATACTTAAAACAGCATTATTTGACAGAGGTGAAATGATGAAACATGGAAGAGAAAATAAAAAATAAACCAACCAAAGTCAAGCAAAATCAATGTAACGGAGTTTGCTGTTAAATCAAGTGACGTTTATTAAAAGTTTACACAATTTTTTTTATTCAATGCATCTACTATTATGTATTGACAAATTCCAAACAATAAAATCAATCGAGCACTACTATGGGGAGCGTTTTAATAATTTTTGATCAGTCTAACCTTGTATTATCTTTTATTATTTTAACTTACATATTATTATATATTTTTTCTTTAAGTATAGAGTAGGGCTCTTTTGTTATAAAATTTACAAAACAGATAACGGTTAATGCTACTATATCATAACTTACGAGTAATTATTGATAAGACCGTAATTAAAGTAACAATGTTTGACAGACTTGTGCAACGTATTTCTGTAATATTTTTGGATTATCAATCATGTATGATTTATTTCCAATAGATATGATAACTGATTATTAATGTTTTAAAAAGAATACAAGAGACATTGTCTCAAGCTAAATGTTGCAGGATCTTATTTATTATACAATAGAAGCTATTTTGCAATGGAAATTTTATTGTATTTTATTTATTAAGGAAATAAACAGCAACATTCTTAAAACATATAAACTAAAACAAAATAATTAACACATTTGCCTTATTTTTTTTTTATGCATGACAAGGCAGTTATTTGACTGCAATCGCACCTGGTGTTAAGTGGGATGCAGTCTAGGATGGTACATATCTGCCCTGTAAGTGCCTATTCACTCTCGCCTTAAAAAGGCATAATAGTCTGATGTGCTCTTCTCTGTAATATCTGTACATAAGAAAGAAATAGTACAAAATTCACACCAATTACCTAAAAATAAAGCATAGATTTACTTCTATTTTGGCTTCAATTATTTTTGTTGTAGAATTATGTATGTCTTGATTAGGTAGGTCTTTGGCTAAAACTTAAAATAAAAGTTATTTAATCTAGATTTTTATTAATTTCTACTATTCTCAAGGCATTAAACAGTATTTTTCTTTCCTTTTTTTTTCAGTAACATCAAGAAACTGGAAACTCTACCCTAAAAACATGGAAGAACCCCTCAAAAAAACAAACAAAACATATTTGGGTCACTTCAAAATATCTTAGAAATAAAAAAAAACTATAAAATAATCAGTAGAATAGTATAGTGAAGTTTTTTGCTTATAATAAATAAATAAATAAAATAATAATATATTTATTTTTCGTTGACTTTTATAAAATCGTGGATTTTATTTATGTTGATTCCATTTTAATTTGTATTTAATACAAAGTTTTTAAAACTATTAAACGGGCTGTTAGATCTACTAGTGGTAGTTACAAAGTTACCAAAGAGATTGTATATAAAATAAATAAATAAATAATAGTAAATATAGAAACAAAAACAGATATACGTAGATGCTGTTAAGTTTATGGACTAGTAAAGATATAGAAGACAAGGATAGAAATAGCAGTGACAGTAAGAGTGAGCGAGACGCTAGGATGGCAGCAACCATGGTGGAGACTCCGCCGCCGCAGCTCATAACGACAATAGAATGGGGAATGATGGACAAAAGCAAGTTCTTTCCATTGTACACGCTGAGCAGTTTTACAGGTAATTTTCTTATTCTGTCCGTTTAGTGCAGTAGTTCGTTCTAAAGTCCGGCCGTCGAGCAGATAGAATTTCGTACAATGACCCCAAGCTACCCATCTTTATCGCTCGCGCGTAATATATTGCTGTTGCGCTCGCACACTCACTGCGGCCGCCTGTCGCACAGTCGCACAGCAATTAAAATTAAATGCGAGTGAAAATGATAGGTAGCTTAGTGTCATTGTACGAAATTCTATCTGCTCGGCGACCGAACTTTATACGTTCGTATGATAGCCGAACGGGGAAGGGGGTCGGACTGGCCGACTCGTCATCCGAAGAACGCGGGTTCGGTCCCCGCCGCCTTGACGCTGCTAAACTATTGTGGTGAGCCCACTAGTAACACAAGCTTATTTAGCCTAGTATGAGGGGCTAACAGGCTAGCTAATATTCTTGGAGAAAAAATATGTATTTACAAAAATAAAGGTACTATTATTTTAAAGTATGTACAAGCTTTGTTTAGTGTGGGACTAAAGACACAGTGTATAATGTCCAAAGATATTTATTTCTATCTTTCAAAACTGGCCACCAAAATGTTTAATCAATTAAGAGAACATGCTGATACACACGCGTTTGATAAATCCAAGATAACTTCTCAGATATATCTTTAATGTGCTGGTTTATTAATTGCATCGTGTTGTATTTTTCTTCGTTTTTATACATTGATAAGGAAAAAGGTGCAAAGGTAATTTTAAAATATTATTTTTACATTTTGTATTGTTTTTACCAAAAGGCGAAGGGTTGGGTGTTCGATTCCCACCTTTGACGATTTTTTTTTCAAGTTATTAAAAAACTTTTACCCGCGGTTTCGCCCACGTGAAATTTTGTCTGTCACAAAAAGCTTAACGCGCGCGTCTGTTTCAAAAACCGGGATAAAAACTACCCGTTCCTTCCCGGGACTCAAAACTGTCTCTATACCAAATTTCTTCAAAATGGGTTTAGTGGTTTAAGCATAAAAGCGTAAAGGTTCAACGTATTTAAGTCTGGTCGCCATCGCTGCACGCCGATCGCGTGTGATCGCGTTGGTTTGGCCAAACCTTAACAGACGGACAGAGCTACATGCTACTTTCACATTTATAATAATAAATAAATAAATATTTATTACATCAGTCGTTCTTTCTATTTCAGTACGATGCGCGCTATACCCACTTACACTTGTGAAGACACAGATCCAGGTCCAGAGGAAGAAGGAGGCTTACAGCGGTGTCCTGGACGCCATCTCCAAGATCTACAGAAGCGAGGGCTTCTCGGGGCTGTATAGGGGCTTTTGGATATCCAGTGTGAGTTTCCTAGCTTTTTTATTTTGCCCCCACTGAAATATGAACCTGGGACCTCTTGGGCTGAAAACACTGGACCACAGGGGCGGAATACAGGGTGGAAACGATAAGTGATCTCACTCGATTATTTCTAAACTATACCTACAAGACATCGAAAAACTGGTTACTGATCCTGATGAAGGTGCTTCATGAGTTCTTTCAAACGGTATCAGTAATAGGTTACAGAATTAACTGGATCTATCCGGAAATTCAATGTTTTCAGCTTCCATACATTTAGTAAAACCACATAATATTAAACTATACAATATATCCAAAAACTGGTTACTGATCACTTATCGTTCGTTTCCACCCTGTATAGACATTGTTATAATTCCTGTTAGTTCCTCCAGCTACGTTTGAACTAGCAACTTTTCGAACTCCGTTTTGGATACCGTGCATAGTTTGCCGAAAATTTTAATCATTTTGGCATACTTACTATTTACTATGCGCAGCATAATATACGCTTATGTTCGAAGTGAATTAATATAGTTTAGCGGTCGACGGTGACCTAATCGTAACCATCGAATCGGCAGTTAATTGCTTGAAATAGTATAAGTATTTTTAAAGTTGATTCGAAATCTATTATGTCCTAAAGATTTGCAATCGCTGCCTTTATGTTTGTGTATTCGTACAATTTAACCGTACAATTTCCGGGTGTTGAGAATCCGAGTTATTGAGTCACGAAAATTCATCTAAGTTTTATGAATAATATCTTTTGTTACAGTTTCAGATAATCTCCGGCGTTTTCTACATCACAACGTACGAAGGCGTTAGACATGAGCTGGGCAAATACGAATTAAGTCCGAAAGCTAAGGTAAGCAATAAACTGTAATGTAATTTACAATACTCAACATTTTATTGCTTCTATGTACTTAAAATTATTAAAATATTGCATTTTCTGCCATCTAGCGGCAATATAGTGGACCCCCGGAAATTCGAGCTTGACTAATCCGGCGCCCCCTGTAATCCGACAAGCTTTTTAATGTTGATTGTATACTGTATACATTATAATTTTCGGAAAATTGTTTTCTTTGATATGTAATTAGGCGGGCTACAAGGTACTCTTCTTCGAAAAATTCAGGATTATAGGGGGTCTTATAGGCAGTTCTCTATAATCCGACAAATTCGATAATCCGACACCATCCTGAAAAATGTTTGTCTGATTACTCTATAACTTTTTTATCTCTGGTGCATCTGTCTATGTCTCTTTAGAAATAAAATGAGTCTGTTTAATCTTTTTAAGCAGTTTTATCGAAAAATTTTGGGAGTGGAACGGAAAGGACTGTGTGAAAGGGAATCAGTGAGTGAGAGAGACAGAAAGAGGTAATTTTCTGTGATGATCGATACGTTGTTTTGGGAAAATACACTGTCAAAATACTGAAGCCTTTTCATTCCTACTTAATAAAAAACGCTATATTTTATTTCCAGTCGTTCATAGGCGGTGGCTGCGCGTCCATAGTGGGTCAGACCATCATAGTTCCCTTCGACGTGTTGAGTCAGCATCTTATGGTGCTTGGACTGGTGAGGAGCAGAGCTGGTGGCAGCAAGAATCCTGTAAGTGTTTGATTAAATATATCTGTACTATAGGTAAGGTTCTGGAGTGGAGGCCACGTATCGGTGGCCCGACGACCTCATAAAGGTAGCAGGAAGGCGCTGGATGCAGGCCGCTACCAACCGGGCGATGTGAGAATCATTAGGGGAGGCCTATGTTCAGCTGTGGACGTCCTGTGGCTGAAATGATGACGATATAAGTGGGGCAGACCATCGTAGTTCCCTTCGACGTGTTGACTGCTTATACTGGGGAGGAGTAGAGCTGGTGGCAGCAAGAATCCTGTAAGTACCATCATCATTTCAGCCACAGGACGTCCACTGCTGAACATAGGCCTTCCCCAATGGTTACCACATCGCACGGTTGGTAGCGGCCTGCATCCAGCGCCTTCCTGCTACCTTTATGAGATCATTAGAGGCAGTGAGCGGGACACATAGCTCTTAGAACTGATGGCTGTTAGAGCAGAACAGTTCCTGAGTAGCGACTAGGGGCCGGAAGACGTATTGCAAAGCCTCCCATTCGATGGATCGACGACCTGCCTGGCTATAAAGGTCATATCACACTTATCAACCCAGAAAGGGATCAACACCGTATGGCCTTTCGCGAAGGCGAAGCGTTTACATTACGGTGCGGATAAGTGCGTTTTAGTACGGAGTTTCATACAAAGAATACTGACCGCCTCGAGTTGATACAGCTACGATCCGTTTCCGAGTTGATAAGTGTGCTTCGTCCTTTATGCGCGTCGTGATAAAAGGGGGAATACTTTGTCCAACTGTGGGCGACTTTTGATTAAAACGAAGTACTGATATTAAAAATTTGAATGTGTTGTTGAGTTTTGATGGTCGACTGTATCAAATAATTATGTTCGTATTAGGCAAGATTTTCTTTGCTTTTAAGTGGATAATGTCTAGGAAATATTATTAATATTTAAAACTGTTCTCTTCTAGAAAATAAACCCCCTAGGCCTGGATCTAGACAAGCGGTTCAGTAAAACTGAGCTAGCCAGAGAAGTCTTCGTACGGGTATACAGGCTGAACGGCGTGGCTGGATACTACAGAGGATACGCGGCGTCTTTAGCCGCGTATGTGCCTAATTCAGCGCTTTGGTGGGCGCTTTACACCGCGTATCAAGGTAAGAAAAAATAACACTCATATGGGTACGAGGCGTTTTTAGCCTCGTACGTGACTAACTCAGCGCGGTGCTGGGTGCTTTACACCGCGTATCAAGGTAAACTACCGTTTTAGTAGAGTATGTTTGTTCTGAGCTAGCTAGAGAGGTCTTCGTACGGGTAAACAGGCTGAACGGAGTGGCTGGATACTACAGAGGATACGCGGCGTCTTTGGCCGCGTACGTGCCTAACTCGGCACTTTGGTGGGCGCTTTACACCGCGTATCAAGGTAAAAACAATCTGTAAATTAGTAAATGTAGTATTTTTTTTTAGCTTGTGGTATAAGAATTCAGTAAGGCTGAATGGCGTGGCGGGATACGAGGCGTCTTTAGCCTCGTGCGTGACTTACTTGGCACTTTAAGCCGCGTATCAAGGTAAACTACCGGTTTAGTAGAATACGTTTGTTCTGAGCTAGCCAGAGAATTCTTAGTACGAGTATACAGGCTGAACGGCGTGGCTGGATACTACAGAGAATACGCGGCGTCTTTGGCCGCGTACGGGCCTAACTCGGCACTTTGGTGGGCGCTTTACACCGCGTATCAAGGTAAGAAAACTAGACCACTTTTTATATGTCAGTTTTGTTTTTTACTTGTGCGAGAAGCGAATAGTGGCTGAATGGCGTGGCGGGATATTATAGACTCTACAGGGTGGAAACGATAAGTGATGTCAACCGATTATTTCTAAACTATACAAGATATCGAAAAACTGGTTACTGATCCTGAAAGTGCTTCACGAGCTCTTTCAAACGATGCTAATAATAGGTTTTAGAATAAACTGGAACTATCTGAAAATTCAATGTTTCCAGCTTCCATACATTTGGTAAAGTTACATAATTTTAAAAACTACACAAGATATCGTAAAACTGTTTACTGATCCTAAAAGTGCTTCACGAGCTCTATCCAACGGTATCAGAATAAATACAGAATAAACTGCATCTATCCTAAAATTCAATGTTTCCGTCTTCCATACATTTAGTACTATCCCAGTCATGGCATTCATCTCTTGATAATTTCAAAGCAAGTAAAGCCTAAAACTAATGTTTTTCACAAATAATTTTAAATAAGATGCAAGTTACGAGTTAATATAACCGACTTTTTAAGTTTATTAATTAACAAAAAATAAATTACACTTCTAATAATGTGTCGTCGGCATACATTAAGTACGGAAGCTGAAAACATTGAATTTTAGGATAGTTGCAGTTTATTCTGTAACCTATTATTGGTACCGTTTGAAAGAGCTTGTGAAACACTTTCAGGATCAGGAACCAGTTTTTCGATATCTTGTATAGTTTAGAAATAATCGAGTGAGATCACTTATCGTTTCCACCCTGTATAATATCCCGAGGCTAATGACGCCTCGTATCCTCTATAATATAGAATTATAGAGGATACCAGACGTCTTTAGCCTCGTACGTGACTAACTCGGCGCTTTGGTGGGTACTTTACACCGCGTATCGAGGTAAGAAAAATACGTCCAGTAACATGTCTATGATGGCCATAATCTGGGCCATGTCTAAAATGCCCCACGTCAAGTCATTAAACGTACCTACTTATTTGCACGCCCTGGTGGAAATTGATCTTTTAAATTGTTATTAGCAAAAAGTAACAAATATACAAGGGTCATTCCATAAAAATCTGTATATTTTCGACGTCATTTTGTCCGTAACTTTTTTAAGATGCTTTTGAATACTTTATTAGTGTAAATTATAGTTTATTAATTAATTATGTTATGTCTAAAAGGGCCAGTCACTTTATGCATTATTTTAGGAGAAATTATAATTTTCAATTTTTTCATACTACATTACTCCTATATGACTTCTAATAAAGTATATAACTTATAACCTTAACATTTATAGATAAGTTAATATACATTATACTTCGTCGCTGCATCCTCGAGATTTTCATATTTACCAGGTAGTCCACTTCTCATTGTACTAGGCATCGAACATTTTAGAGCATACAATACAAAAAAGTACTCGATATCCGGCGGTAGTGGGGCACGCTTACGTCACACCCCTCCAACCGTCGAGTCGTCATTCGCTTCGATAGTGCGGGCATCGTAACATCGAAATTTCTCGTTCGTGCCGCAAAAATAAAATTAAATTGGAAAAAGTGTGTGCTTCGTGTGTGTTTAAATGTGAAATGACCATAAAAGTAAACATTTCGATAAAATACACAGTTATTACGTCGTCTAGAGCGACGCGACATTTGGAGGATAATAATGGCTACCNGACTAAGAGTTGACATATTTTTGTGGAATGACCCACAAAAGCTTTATTTACACTTTTACAGATATTATTATGAAATTAAGTGCAAGTCTCACGTTATCTTTTTACCTTTCCAGATGAGCTCCTAAGAATAAGTCCGGCGTGGGTGTCACATCTAGCGATACAGTGCGCCGCCGGCACTTTGGGCGGATTCACAACCACTATACTGACAAACCCGCTCGATATCGTACGCGCGAGGCTTCAGGTGAGATTAATGTCGTCTATAGCTGGCGCTTAACCAGGGATGTTATGGATATCCGTAACCGTAACCGAAACTTTTGGATATCTGAAATAAAAAATACAGAAACCGTAACCGAAACCGGTATAATATTATTCCTATATCCGTATTAGGTAAATGGGTATATGCGCCGACACTAGCCCATGTTAATATGGGCATATAAATGGTATGGTGAAGTCAGAAAATTGATATCATTACTTTAATTTTCATACAAATCGGAATTTACAAAATTTATTTTATATGAAAATTAGATTGATGATATCTAATTTATGACTTCACCATACCATTTATATGCCCATGTTAACATGGGCTAGTGTCGGCTCATATACACATTTACCTAACACCCTGTATAACTATAGGTCGCTTAACTCAGTGCCCGAGGTATGGAAGCGTGCGAAGGGTATTTTTGTTACATCAAATATCAGCGAGAATTCAACGGGACTATTCCCACCTCTCGTCCCCACCGCTGCAACTCCTGTGTAGCCAGGATCTACAGTTTGACCGCCAATACCCAACCAGCGAAGGTCAAGTTTGTCCCGGGGGAAAGTTGAACAGACATTGGACCCGCAACGAAAATAATCAGAACATAGAAGTGAGTTCGAAGTTAAGGTTCGATTCAGCGAACTTCAGTGTGTTTAGTGCAAGTTTGCATTGAACGTCTTCGCTAGCGAGTGCGTCGAAAAATCTATGAAGATTTTAGTTCTTGAAAGTATCCGCTAGGGGCGCTGTACATACAATCCGTATCCGATAATTTAATTTTACGCAATCGCTAGCTAAGACGTTTGATGTAAACTCGCACAAAACCCCCAGATTTGTATTGTCCAATCTTATTGAACCGTCCCATTAGTAGTGACATTGACAGGGGGGCGCCACCGTCAATACCGGATCGCTGGTTCCGATTTTCGCCGTGTCAATGAGTTTGGTGGGACATTTCAGGGTAGTTTATCTATATGCTCTTTCACGTCATAATAATATGTTAATGTCACCCCTCCCGCGCCGCTCCCATTCCTCAGGCACTGACTGAGCTAAGCGCCAGAACTATCTATATATAGCCTGACCAGGAACATAAAAACCCTGGCATAGAGGCGCGTCAATTGCATTTGATAGTGCAACACTGAGTACAGTCGTACCTGTGTTAAATTAATAGGCTAACTTTATGTATCAGGATTCAGGATTACGGGCTAATTTGATATTTTCATAAATTAACGAAAAAATATTATTATAGGTAACCTGGTTTAAATAAATTAAATGAAACCATCAATCGAACTAGTAGGATTTATTTGATTATTCATTAATAATCAAATTCAGAACTTGAATATTCAACTGCAATGTCTGCTCATGAACGCTTCAAACTCGGTACTTCTTTCCCAATTCCATAAAATTTAACTTTTAGAAAGTGACAAAAAACTTTAAAATAGGTAGTTGAAACAAACCACAGCTAATTTTCATAGTGGACTGTACTATACGCATGTCAGTCAATTTGACAACCTTTATTGGAAACATTTTCAATGAAAATATTGTCCGAACCCTTGGTATTTCTCTTCGACAAATACTTTAACACATTAAAATATTTTGATTAACTTTTGTGTAAAAACTGCAAGGATTCTGGGGGTTTTAAGAGTTGGGGTGAACAGCAGCACTACTTAAGTTGCCGATATAAACAGAAAACCAGGAATAATTGAAAAATTGTGGTCGTGGTAATGTAAAATATCATAAGGGGTGTCAATTTTCGTTGAATTTCATAATTTATTGTGTAAGTTAAAAAATAATTGAGATAGATTTTTTCCCTTATTTTTCCTAAAGTAGTCATGACTATGTCCATCCTGTGGCGTCGGCTTATCCTTGAATTTTGAGACACGTTGTATACATAGTTGGTCAGGGAATTTTGAAAAAATTGTCAGGGAAAGTCAGGGAAAAGTCAGGGAATTTTTTCGAACATTTGCAGTGGACACCCTGTTCATATATTTTCATATATACAGTGTGAGTCACGTTAAAGTGTACATACACTTTAACGTGACTCACACTGTATATAAAAGAAAGTCGTGTTAGTTACTCCACTTATAAGTCAAGAACGGCTGAACCGATTTAGCTGAAAATTGTCAGGGAGGTAGTTTAGAGCCAGGAGAAGGACATAGGATACTTCTTATCCCGTTCGAAATTAAAAAAAAAACTGCTTATTTATTGCCATTAAGGCGGAACAGAGTTCGCCGGGTCAGCTAGTTTTAAATAAATACCTTAGGAAATTCGATTTTTTCGAGTTATTTAAAATATATCCTTTTTACTCTCCAGGTGGAAGGCGTAAGCACGATGCGGCAAGTATTCCGCGACCTATGGCAGGAGGAGGGGCTAATGGGGCTTTACCTCAAGGGGCTATCGGCGCGGCTGGTCCAGTCTGCCTGCTTCTCCTTCAGTATAATACTTGGTTATGAGAGTATTAAGCGCGTGGCTGTTAGCGATGAATTCCGCGGCCGCGTGCGCTGGTGATGCAATATACGTGACGCAACTACCTGTTTTGTTTTTATTGTACTACCCCCAGAATCCTAGAGTTAACTCAAGTAGCTTAATGAAGCGTGGCTCGCAAGTGTCTTGAATTACTCGTGGCCCCTAAGTGTCTTGTTCATGGCCCCCGAGTGTCTAGTTTGTGGTCCCTAAGTGCCTTGAGCTCGTGGCCCCCAAGTGACTTTAATGGCTTGTGGCCCCCTCGCGTTAGTGGTGCCTCGTACTAGAGGGGCTACTGAAAGAAAGAAACTAAGAAAGAAAATGACTCGTGGCCTCCAAGTGTCTAAATAAGGCAAGGCCTTGTTGCCCCAAGTAGCTAAGGCGAATCGTGGCCCCCTAGTGTCTAAACGATACGTTGCCCACAAAATGACCCGTGGCTCTCGTGTATCCTTCTGGCCCCCAAGTATGTTAATTAATTAGTGGCCCATGTGTTTTTAGTTTGTGGCCCTCAAATATCTAAATGACCCATAGTTTCCATATCGTGGCCCCCAAGTATCTGGAGCCACTGGGGCTCTCCCTCGAGGGGCTATCGGCTGGTCCAGTCTGCCCGCTTCTCCTTCAGTATAATACTTTGTTACGAGAGTATTAAGCGCGTGGCTGTTAGCGATGAATTCCGCGGCCGCGTGCGCTGGTGATGCAATATACGGGACGCAACTAGCTGTAGTTTTATTCTACTACCTTCAGTCACCTTAGTAGCTAACGTGAGGCGTGGCCCTTAGTGTCTAATTCATGCAAAAATACTCGTGAGCCCCCCAAGTGTTTTGTGGCCCCGAGTATCTGAGCTAAGACGAAGCGCGGCCCCCAACTGCCCCCAAGTAACTTACACAAGCCCCCGAGTGTCTCAAATTACTTGTGGCCACCCTACTGTCTTAAATTACTCCTGGCCCCCAAGTCTTAAATGAATCGGGGCCCCTAAGTGTCTAGAATTTTGGCCCCCAATAGGCAAGTCAATAAAGATTAAAAAAGTTCCACCAAGAAATTCCGAAGAGATCGAAGCTATTTGTAAACAAAGAAGGTACTTAGGTAAGTAGTAATTATAACATGTTATTACAAACGATAACACTCATCGCCTACTATGCACATTGCACACGCGTTATGAGTCACAGTTCAAATGTAGTATGTTTTGATTAACCATCGTAGCTAGAATGAGTGGGCTTGCTTCTTTCAATCGAGTTATTAACTGCGCGACGTCACATCGACGCCACGCTCTGGTACGGGCACAGATATGGATTAGAGGGTACGGGCATGAATCTGATGTTGACGTTACCTGTCAGGCTGTCATGACTGCAATCGGCATAACTGACTTCTATTGTCCAGTGTGCTAACTGTGATGAGACGCGTGTTGGAGTTTAGAGTTCGATTGCCAGGTGGATCAACAACACTGACCGAGTTATTTGAGTCATCAGCTGATATATCTACCTACCCTCACCATAGTAAGTAGGTGAAAGAAGAATGAATGACCGGACGTATGATTAATTCTGTTTTATTTATTTCATTTATGATTAATAAATACTATGATACTACATACGATAGCAAGGCGACTGCAGCATCGATAAAATCATGATGTTTATTGTTAAACTGTGATCGTGTAACTGATTTGCATACATATTTATAAAGAACAGCTTGAATCAGCCGCATGATTCATGATCAGATGGCTTTATTAGTCGCCAATACGCCATGGACGTCTGGTAAAATTATCTATTACCTACTTCTATACAAAGCTGAAGGGTTTATTTGTTAGCTTGAACGCGTTAATCTCAGGAACTAGGTACTGGTCCGATTTGACAAAATATTGTTGTGTTGGATAGCTCATTTTCGAGAAAAGCTTTAGGCTGTATAACATCTGCACTCTACAGTCTCAATAGGGGCGGAGCAGTAAGTACCTACTTCTTACCTAAAAAAAATGTTACAAAAAACGAGAAACATTATTCAAACTATTTTCACACGTACCTACAAACACACACGGGCACAGTTGAACCACAGTCTACTGTGGTTGAACCACAGTAATATATCTACTGTGGTTGAACTGCCTTTGACTGTATTTTGAAAATTCTCTTATTTCCGTCAATATGCAAAATGGACGCGCTCGAAGCCGTTAAAACAAGACGGAGGTTATGTCAAGTTCATACTGATAATAATAGCAGAGATCGCACCATTAAAGGATGATGGGCACAAATGTATGGAAAGTGGTACCCGCTCCAATAGCCATAACCAATATATATTTTAAAAGGCCTTTAGATGTAGGAAAATGTCTGCTATGGGGCCAGTTCTAATTCACGTTTTGAAAGCAGTAATTCCACTAAGTATTATAATGAAAGTATAACACAATCATCCATGTATACGAGTATGTATTATGACTACAATCTATTAAATATTAATATAACCAAAAGAAGCATTGAAAAGGAAAGGATTATACCTACGATGAACTACCCAAGCTATTAGCCCTTTATTCGCTTTCATCATCATCATCATGATCATTTTAGTCATAGGACGTCCAGTTGAACATAGGCCTCCCCCAATGATTTCCACAATGGCCGGTTGGTGGCGGCCTGCATCCAGCGCCTTCCCGCTACCTTTATGATTAATTTATGGTCGTCGGTCCATCTTGTGGGTGGACTTATTGGGTCTTGTGGGTTTATTCGCTTTAGCAACTCATAATAAAACCCTTAAGAAGTAATAAAACTTTAACCCCTTTATTAATAAAAGTTACACCCTAGTTGAACTCTGGCTTAAATTGTCATTTGGTATGGAAATGTCATTTTAATCCAAGGTTCTTCCTAGGTGTAACTTTTTATTAATAAGGGGGTAGTACTTCTTTAAATAAAAATATTTATTTCACAATTATCCCCGTCAATAATTATAGAGTTAAGGAAGGATGCTGGAGCAGTAAACCCTCCTGCCTCGCATAACCTAAGTACCATACGATGGACACGTATGATACTTCTTCTTCTTCTTCCTCGGTCCCTCACTGATGAGGATCGCGACCACAGATAGTGTTCCTCCACAGACTGAGGCCATAAGTGTGGACCGCACGATGCAAACTCCCGCCCACCGTCTTCCTCACCGCGTCCGACCATCTCGTCGGTGCCCTGCCCCGAGCGCGTCCTCCTTCATACTGTATGATACTTAGGTTACTGTTGGAAAGTATGTATATCAAAATAGTAATAGTAATTAAAAAAATAAAAATAAAAGACAGTCGTAAGTCAGCAACTGACTCGTTTTACTTAAAGGTTATGGGCCCAGACCCATTTTAAGTGAAAAAATAGTTTTATTGTAGTATTTTTCGTGTTGAGTCAGTTAAAATGAGTTCCAGTTATCTCGCTAACGTGCCAAAGTTAAAAGGTCGCGAAAATTTCGACGATTGGGCGTTCGCAGTGGAGAACTTGCTAGTTCTGGAGGGTGCAGAGAAGTACCTAAAGCAAGAAGGAACGGGTGCAGTCGCAGAAGCGGCAGATGCAAAGACTCGAGCAAAAATGATTTTGACGATTGATNGTCCTTTGATTAGCCTCAAGTTTTGGCCGAACATCGTCCTCGTAAATTGATTGATAGCAATAAGTGGCCGTCTGGCCAGCGTGGGGAGTGTAGCCCATAGAGAAAAGTAATACATAGGGTGTAGCCAATGCTCCATTGGATTGTTTTCCTGTGAAGACATGATGATGATTAGGTTTAAGTATAAGAGAAGGGGAGAGCATTATACAGACGGCTATTGGCAAAACTCAATGTTATTCTTCTTTATTGAGGGTCATACACCACCTTAAATGTGTCAGTGTCGGACTGATCGAACCGAGATCCGAGGAACGCGGGTTCGAAACCCTGCCCATAGAGCTTTTTTGCATTATATATACATACATAGTTAATTACCTTTATAATAAGTAGGTATTAGAAGATATAGATTACTGGAAGATATGTATCACGCATAACGACGAACATGACACACGAAGGAAACACATATTTTCTTATTTATTCATTAGTTACTCGCCATTGCGTGTTAACGTAATAAACTTCCTGTGTTAGATCTAAGGTTAATTTTATGCAATATACAGATTGGTGGATTTTAAAACGCGTGCATTTTATTCAGAGGTCAATGCGTAATTAATACTAGGATATACCTAGGCTCTAAGAATTTAGCGTGGGAGATATGGGATGAGAGCTGCAAAATAATCTATACTAATATTTTTAATTTATAAAGTTGAAGAGTTTGTTTACTTGAACGCGCTAATCTCAGGAACTAGCTAACTACTGGTCCGATTTGAAAAATTATTTCAGTGTTAGATAGCCCATTTATTGAGGAAGCCTATAGGCTATATACCATCACGCTAGGTGCAACAGGAGCAGAGCAACAATGAAAAATGTTGCGAAAAGTGGTTTTCACCATTTCACTCACGCGTACGAAGTCGCAGGCACAGCTAGTAGTCAAATATGTATAGGATACGTAATAATTTGTACTTTCAGTTGAACTGAAAATACAGCTGAAGTTTTTTTTAACGTTATAAGTAGGTGTTCAGTGTGCCTACCATGAGTTTACGTTAGGTGTGCTCGCTAGCGACTGCGTAAAAAAATGACATTTAAATGTATTATGACATATTGTGCAGCGCCCCTAGTGGCTACTTTCAAGAAATAAGATCTTCATAGAATTTTTTGACGTATTCGCTAGCGAGCTCACCTAACGTAAACTCATGGTAGGCACACTGGTGACAGAAAGGATCTAGATAGGAAATCAAAACAACAATAAGTATTTGCACTGGTTTATTATATCTTTTAAAACTTACAAAAGAACTAAATACCCGTGATACTATTCGAATCACATTAATACGTCGTATATTGTATAATATACGGTCAATTGGCAAGAGAAACCAATCGGTTGTGATGGACACTACTTCATAATAATATTACAATCAATCGTCAAATCTACATACAAATAAAAAGTAGGTACATAATACTCATTTTCATCGAAAAAGTACATGTCGGGCGTTCAACATCATCAAAAACATCTTTTACAAACATCAG